TTTAAATACCGTATATTTTGATTTTATTAACTAGAATTTAATTTCTTATTACTAGAAATGTCATTACCATACAATACAGTAATTTTACAAAATTTTTTTTTCCGAGTAAGAAAAATATATGACAGGAATATACGTTTATCTAAAATTGAATTTTGCTGTCTATCTTTTAAGCGTTTCAACTAATACAAAGTTTTCAGGCCAAGTAGTTATTTATTTCAATATTATATCTGAAAAAATACTTTTGAGTTATACTGGTACTTAATTACCACATTCAGAAATTTAAAAGAAAGTTAATTTTCAAAGCTTTTGTGTAAAAAAAAGAACTATTAAAACAGCTAAAGTTTAAATGCCTTAAACTTAAGAAAGAGACAAATCTACAATTTTAAACCATGTAGATCATGTTGTCGTAAATAATTATCTGGGAGTTGAAATATGACTAGGAGTGGTAAAATAATTTAAATATTCTAAGAGCTATTAATTTTCTTTAAAAATTTACCCGTTTGAAGAAATTATTTCATCTTGAGGCAAATTATCAAAATTAATGAATATTTGACATTTTTTATTAATTTTTATGAGCCTGGATAATGCAGTGTTGGATAACTTTGTAAATATTAAAAGCTGAGATCGCACAGAATTTTTCTACTATCTAGCAGCAAAATTTATTAATAGTGACATTTTGCACGATTTTTAGAATCAGCATAAGGAAGCTTGACTATAGATATATTTAACTAACCTATAATAAGTCATGAATAATTATTGAAAACTCACAAAAATTATGAAAATGGCATAAAATTACACAAATGTAGTCAATTTCTGCGATGCAAGAGCAGTTGAAAAACTACCTTAAATGTTAAATAAATTATAACAAGAAACTGAGGCAGACACATACTTTTTTTTCTTTCTTTCCTCCAATCCCTGAGCATGTACCTAGGTTTTGAAAACCCTTAACCATATAGCCCAGGACTTGGCCACTGGTCCAGCTCCACACCAGCCTAAATAACATGAGCAGACACATACTACCTGATTAAAAACTCCATTTGTTTCAAGAATATATGCAAAAAGAAAATAATAGTTGACTTGTTTCAAGCGCTTCAAAAATAAGCGCCTATTTTCAAGACTTGCCATACGTGAATGAGAAGAAGCAAAAGTGATTTGAAATAGCTTAAACGTGTCAAACCAGCTTCCATTCTATTGAGCCGCGATGGCTCAGGGGATAGAGCGTTCGCCTTCCAATTAGGCGAACCGGGATTTGATCCCAGCGATGGCTGGTCGATACAAATTCCACATCCGGCTTGCACCGACCACAGTGCTGACGCGAAATATCTCAGTGGTAGATGGATCATGGGCTAGAGTCCCATTGCCGTTAGGCTAACCGTGAGAAGTTCTCGTGGTCTACCTTTCCATGTAACACAAATGCGGGTTAATTCCATTGGAAAGTCCTCCAGGTAGGCAAATTTCTCCCAATACTTGATCCAGGAGTTCCTTTGTCCTGGATTGGGTTCAAAATTACAAGGCTAAGGAGTTGAACATTAGTAGCCGTAAGCCCCAAAAATTGGGTCGACTGTTCAACGATGGTTTTATAAAAAATAAAACTGCCAGGAGCAGTGATGGCTCAAGTGATAGAGCAATCACCTCCCAATGAGGTGCCCCTGGTTCGAATCCCAGCAATGGCTGATGGATACGAATTCTACACCCGTTTCGCACCGACCACAGTTCTGACGTAAAATATCCCCAGTGGTAGATGGTTGGAGTCCTCTTGTTGCCTGGCTAACCGTGGATGCTTCTTTCTTGATTTTCCTCTCCATGTAACGCAAATGTGGGTTAGCTCCATACAAAAATCCTCGACAAAAGCAAATTTCTCTCAATACTTTAGCCAAGAGTTCCCTTATCTTCTGGATTGGGTTCAAACTTACAAGGCTACGGAACTCTGCAGGTCGTAAACCTGAAAATTGGGTCAGCTGTTCATCGACAGTTATAAAAAATATAAATAAATAAACAAGGCTCAAGATCGGTAATCCATCAGGAATATATAAATTCTTCCTAACTTCGAAGTGCAGGATTTCAGCAGAATGAAATCTACGTGTTGCAATTTCTGCAATTGTCTTGAAGGGTATGAAAGGAAAAGAAGTAAATCTCCCTGCAGAATAATTGGTGTAAAACGAGTGCTGAGAAAAATGGAGTGGGAGCTATACTTACAAAGTGAAAGATGGCAAAGTTGATGGATAGTTAGACATGAGTTTACTTCATATTTGGTGCATAATGTTTGCTTAATAATTTTCAATTTTCCTTCACTAAATCAGATGACGTTAAGCATCAGACATTTCTCATTTTTCTTAAACTTGTGTAAATTAAAATGCCATCGATTCAATATTTATCACAAAATTAACAAACTCAAAGAAAGAAGTTTAAATTATAGCATTTATAAGAACGTAAAGTTCCTTTTTGAACAAGTTATCAGCGAAAAAGAATTCTAGGGCCTTATAGCCAACCTTATCTTTCTCATGCAAGCTGGATAATTAAAACAAAAAAAGTAAATAAAAAAAAAAAGAAATGCGCATGTGCAACTGTTGTGGTTGCTTTCATTGCCTTTCTGCAAGACACGAAAATTCCTGACTGGAAATTACTGTTCCCCTGAGATTCACAATTTTCTCACCTCCATATTCTTTGCTTTCCTTTATGGTGAAAAAGAAACAAAGAAAAAAAAAAGGTTTTTATGCTTTGCCCTAGTTTCGATAAGATTTAAAGCAAGACTCGAGAAATATTGAAATTTTACTCGATGAATCTATTTACGAAATACGTGTCCAAATGATACTTTTGCAAACTAAAATTTTTTTTCGATTGCATATTAATGAACAAATATGAATGCACCTACTTTTTAATTATGCGAAAAACCGATAGCAATATCTATAAATGTTAAGTTTTAAATCAGAAGTTTTATGTATTATTATGTAAGCGCGAATAAGCATTAATGGAGTAAATGCAGAGCATTTTTATTAAGAAAGAAAAGATATTATCACAACTATTAATTTCTATTGGCAAATACAGGTTTTTCAGCTTGTTAATGTCATAAACTTTTCTATTAATTACTTTGTTAAACACAGCATTTGGAGTAAACTTTTTTAAATAAAAATAAGAAGAACTCTGGGAATAAATAAAGACTAAGCAAATTCTGTCTAATAAATTCAATGATATTTGTGTCTTACACATAATCGTTTTTTTTTCTACCCACTTTTCGGTGCCATTTATTCACACCACCCCGGCATCTATGCGATAGTCATCGATACGTTAGCGAATAATCGATATGTTGTCTCTGTGTGAATATTTGAATAATTGGTCACGAGTTTCCAATACAGTGGCTTTCAACGACCGGCTTTTACGTTTAATAGTTTCTTAAATAAATAAAGAAAAATAAATAAATAAAATAAAAAGAAATAAAATAAAATGAAACTTTTATTTCTTTATTTTTTTTTCAGTTCATGTAACAAATTTTAAAGGAAGTAAAAGCTTGCATTATAATTGGAACCAACTACAGCCGAAAAGAAAATCTCCGAAGAAAGAGAATGAGTCGTTAAAGCTCGCTGGATTGTAAGTTAGCCTCAGCTCATTATAATTTTTAAGTGATGTGTAGTGCCCTATTTATTATTTGTATTTATGAATTTAATTTATAAAAGAACAAAAACTCTTATCTTTCAATTTTTTTTAATTATTTACATCAAGAAAGACATGAAGTGACGAAACACATATAAAATAGTAAAATTCAACAACACTGTATAAAGAGGAAGGAATACAATAGTTAAATTTATGCAATCCAGTTCAGTTGTAAAATACTCATGTTAAAGGTGTTTGTGAGAAACAGACTTGAGAAAAGGGATTCAAACATAATTCATTGTAGTGAAGCACATTTAAAAAGTCACGTGATTTTACATTTATACAACCTATTGTATAGAAGTTGAAGCTTTCAAAAACTTATTATTTGTTCATTATTTGACAGAAATCAAAATAATGATTTACATCAATAACTATTTTAAATCTAAAATTAAATGTATCGGTATTCTCCATTTAGCTTTGAAATTAATTTCAATTTATCAATTTGGTTTTGCATTTTAAAGCAAACCTTATTTTTCTTGTTAGAATGAATATGATATGGCTCTTCAACGGCAATTTTTTACCGACTTTTATAGAAAATAGACTTTTTAGAACATGCTAAAACTCTCATGGTCTTATAGAATTTGAATATGCAATATTTGAACATGCTCAGGGCTTTTATTATAATTGATTTAAGGCCAAGTTTCCTTATCCAATTTTTAAAAAAAACATAAAAAAACATTTTGCCATTAAAAAAACAATTATAATCTGGTGATAAATAATTCTAACAGAAATTAAAATTTATTTAAAGTATGTAAAATTGTAACAGTTAAAGTGATGAGAATTTGGAATATTTTTCCTTTGTTATCAATAACTAGTTAACGTAATTTACTTTAGTCCGTGAGGGGGCAGAAAAGTTATAACCCACATTTTAAAAAACTACTCTTCACTGCTGATAATAATTCTACACAGCATAAGATTTCAATCTTATCTTGAAGTAATAGAAATCTCTTAAGCAAGGGCAACACAATACTGGTTAACTATCATTAATAGTTCCGCACCTCCCATTCCCTTCTCCCCGTGAAGTATTATAAAAACAATAAAATTATGGCCAATAAAAGAGAGGGTGTAACTATGTGTTGTATAATTGCTATCTTGTAAGCATTGTGCACTTTTTGATACCTTTTTTAATACATCACATCTTTTGTTGATTTTCTTGTTCGATCTTATTCTATAGAATAGAATCGATCCTAAGGGTTCAATTTTATTTTTTTCCCTGTAACTTGTTTGTAATTTCTTCTGTCTCTCTGTGGTTCTCTCTCTCCTTCTTTGTCATGAAGCTAAATATAATGCTTTATTATAGTTTCGAAACGATTTCGGTTTAGGTAATTGATTGTGTTTGGTTCTCNAACTACTCTTCACTGCTGATAATAATTCTACACAGCATAAGATTTCAATCTTATCTTGAAGTAATAGAAATCTCTTAAGCAAGGGCAACACAATACTGGTTAACTATCATTAATAGTTCCGCACCTCCCATTCCCTTCTCCCCGTGAAGTATTATAAAAACAATAAAATTATGGCCAATAAAAGAGAGGGTGTAACTATGTGTTGTATAATTGCTATCTTGTAAGCATTGTGCACTTTTTGATACCTTTTTTAATACATCACATCTTTTGTTGATTTTCTTGTTCGATCTTATTCTATAGAATAGAATCGATCCTAAGGGTTCAATTTTATTTTTTTCCCTGTAACTTGTTTGTAATTTCTTCTGTCTCTCTGTGGTTCTCTCTCTCCTTCTTTCATGAAGCTAAATATAATGCTTTATTATAGTTTCGAAACGATCTCGGTTTAGGTTATTAATTGTGTTTGGTTCTCTTTTTCCACGTTGTTAGAGCTTCTCAAGAAAAATGTGGGTTATCACTTTTTACTCCTGAGATTCCTTTGTTTGTTTCTTATACAGAAAGGAAATTCATGTTTGTGTAGAAATAAAGCAAAAAATAATCTCATAAGCTCAGATAAAAAGTAGTTCAGAGACATTAGTATTTAAGCAAAACGTCGATCTGAAGGAGAACTACAAAAACACAGAAAAAAAACGTCACTATGATTATGAAATTGAAATTTTCTATACTTATTATGATCTTAAAAAGCTCATTTCGTGTAGTAATATTTTCTGGTCATTTCTATTGAAAGGCGTGTTAACAGTGCTTAAATCCGTCTTTCAGGAAAAACATAAACGGTGTCAAGCTGGAGATTAAATAACTGCATGTGGCATTAATTTTATAGTAAAAATTTATACTTTGGCACGACGAAATACTTTTATAAGAATTGATTTATGATATAGTTTAAATTAATTCGCTTTATATCAATCTATAACATTTATTCACTTAATAAAAATTTGTCAAATCCAACGATAAACGTCTTACTTACAAATGATATCATCCAAAGCTCTTTTTGTGTATGAGATACAATTTATATCTTACACTCTTTGATCACCAAAGAATCTTCATAATTCAACAGCCAAATGACATTCGGAATTTCGGTTATTGGACAAATTATCGGTATATCACAAATATTTATTTCATAAATAACCGAGAAAAAAAAGCATTGATGCACATATTTTTCCATAATTCAATACTGATCATTTGTCTTTCAACAGTACAGTACCTACTTAATGGTAGTTCGAAATTGTAGATCAATCGCAAAACCAATTGGGAATAAATCTTGCGAAAGAATTCGGACGGTAGTGGTCTGTATACAAGCAGGGTTTGACACTATCACCGAACTGGTTTCGAATGATTCGGTGGATTATTCCATTTTTCTTTCTTGTTCGGATCGGGAAGGGGGTTGCATTCGTGGGAAGAAACATGCGATGAACAAAATGATTCATTGCCTATAAGAAAAAGAGATATTTATAATATTACAACGGCATATTGTCAGTTAGAGATTTGTTCTGGACACAGCTCAAAATGTGTGTTTAAGATATAAAAAAATTGAATCAACTCAAAATGCATGTTTCGAAAAAAGGAAACAGCCCAAAATAATGTGTTTAATAAAATAGAAACAGCATAAAATGCTTGTTCGAGAAAATTGAAACAGATTAAATTGCATGTTTGAGAAAATAAAAATGGATTAAATTGTGCTCTTGAGAAAATAGAGACAGGTCAAAATGCGTTTTTGTAAAAAATCGAAATAGCTTAAAGGCGCGTTTGTAAAAAGAAGAAAAAAAAGGAAAAAAAAATAGCTTTTGAAGAAATGAAATCACATTAAACACACGCGTGTTTGAGAAAAAGGGAAACGGATTATATTGCATGCTTGAGAAAACGGATACAGTTCAAAATGAGCGTTTGAAAAAATGGATACTGCTCAAAATGCGTGTTAAAGAAAACAGAAACAGCTCAAAATGCATGTTTAAAAAAATTTAAACATCTCAAAATGCTTGTTTAGAAAGTGAAAACACCTCAAAATGAGTGTTTGAGAAAATGGTGAGACCTCAAAATGCGTGTTTGAGAAAACGGAAACACCTCAAAATGCGTGATTGAAAAAATGGAAACTGCTTAAAATACGACTTTGAGAAAATTGGAAATAGCTCGAAATGCATGTTTGAGAGAATGAACATAACTTCATCTCAAATTCAACAACTAACTAAGAAGCTTTGTATTTACTTTTTCATATTTTTTAAACACTGAGAATAATTTTAATGAAGAAGAGTCCAGACATTGGAGTTCAGATTACTGGATATACTACTAAAGTAATTTTTCACGTATCTCTCCGCATTCGAATCACTAGCTGATAAAATAGTTTTAAAAAATCTACATTCTTGCAATGTCAATTTAATACCACTGCTATAAATTTATAGGATCGTGATGACCTTGTGAAAGTAAATCTTCTTCTCCTTTGATATGTTTTTCAAGACAGAATAATTTTTTTTAAAAAAGTAATAAGCAAAGCTAATGCACGACATTCCATTACGAATTAATTTGGATTCATTAAAAAAAGAACGATTTTCGTGCGAGAGATTTGAAAATCGGAATCTAGTGATAAGTCCAATTTCTTCCTTTTTCAAAAAGTGTTCATTTTTTTAAAGACACAATTTGAGCAGTGTTCATTTCTTTAAGTGCGTATTTTGAGCTGGTCAAAAATTAAAAGCTCAAAGACGATATATATNTATATATATATATTAGTAATAATAATTTAATAATTATCTGTTTTTATTACTTACCCGGTTTATAAGATGACATATAAATTGGTCTTGTCGGACATCGTTTAATTGTTGCAAATAATCCATCTGAACCCTAAAAAATATTGCCTTATGAATGATTTAACATTCTACTCAATTTAGATAATTGTTAAATTCTGCCAAAAGTATCCCATGAGTTATGGTTGCAATTGCAAAAATTTCCTCGAATAATTATTATTTTTTAAAATCCTCTATATTTTTCAAAAGGCTAAGATTTATTCGAACATTTTTTAATGGTCTTTACACTTATTACTTGCATTTTAACAGCAATTATTTTTTTGAGGCGTCAACATTTTCCGTGGGTATAACTAATAAAGCATTAAAGAGAATAGATCATCATACATATGTAGATCATACAGTTTAGAAAGTTTTTAAAACTGATCCCATTTTATTTCAATCGATTTTATTTATTTAATTATTGTTATTTTTTATTTGGAACAAATTACGCCTGCTTGTACCTACAATGACCTTCAACTTGTTCTTCTCTACACGATATTTTTTAAAAAGTACATTTTGTGGAAAGTAATTTTGCAAATTATAATTTTATTGATAGGGTTTTACCAGAGTACACAATTTCAGAAGCCTTTCAAAAACTATAGAAATTCTTAAAATTAGATCGCTAAATTTCCCAGCAAATTTACATATTTCTAGAGAATACTATAAAATAAATTTCTGTGCAAGCAAGTGACGAAATTCAATCTTCATTGGGCTCTGCCTAAACAGTTAAAATGATAATACAAGTATGATTTCCTAGACAACCAATTTTTTCTTGAAAAGCAACAATATTATTATATCAATATAAAATATTAATATCTCTTATTATAATGAAATATTTTTTCATAAACTAAAAATTGTTGTATTTACGGCAGAATAAAACTTAAATCCGAACACTGAGGGAAAATGTACCATTTGGTGTACTTCAAATATTAATTAATAACCAATATTTTTAAAGCGACAAATTCAGAAACTAAGTTTCTGATAATTCAAAACTTACTTGTTTTGACAAAAGTTCCTCGCAAGCATACGGCTCAGCATAATCTGTTTTTCCTGTAACAATAAAAAATACCACACTTCAAAACAACCGAACAAACATTAATCCTACAGGTAATACGGTATAGCAATTGCATTAAAATTATTCTTTAAAGTTATTTATCTCAAGAAGATTAAATAATGACATGTTTAAGTTGACTAAAGTCAAAGAAAAGTTTTTATTTTGAAGAAAGCATACTCTCTTGCCAAAATATTATTTAGTTTTTCGAACTAACAAGTACTTTAAATAAAATAAAAAAATTACTGATTTGGAGAAAATTTTCTCTTGGCAGGTATTTTTTTTAAATAAAAAGACATATGCACTTTTTCCTGCAAATTTAGGGGGGGTGGGCGTTCTTCTAAAAACATGTTTCTCTCTTTCCAAAACTAACATAGAAGGAGATAACTAGCAGTCAAAAAATATTCAGCTGACAGGCAAAAAGCAGCTGGTGCAATTTTATAACAATTGCGAAAAGAAAAAAAGGTATATCATTTACTAGAAATGATACAAGAATTATTTTTTTTTTGATGATAAAGCCTTCAAAGAACATTCTTAAATCAAAAATTTTTAAGAAGCTTTTCTTAAAGTTAGCCGTGTACATATTTTCGTAGAACTGAAATCATCGTAATTAATTATTGCTCATAAATTATTAAGTTTTGAAATCGGATTCAATACAACATTTCTTTTGAACATGAAATATTGTGTGATTTCGGAATTGTTTTTTACAACATTTAATTAAAAATTTATTTATTTAATTTTTTAAAATTTTTATTCAATGAAGCTAAAGAAATTATCTACATACCAGGACAAGTATAGTGGGAAAAATCTGTTGGTTTCGTCTTTACTTCTTTAGACATATCACTCATCATCAAAGAATCAGGATATGATTTTCTATTGTCACACTCTGAAAAGTCAATAAATTTAAATGACTAAAAGCTTTTAAGAAATCATTTTATTTATCAATTATATTATTAATTTTTTTTCTATTTTATTGCAGTCTTAATTAAATGCTTATAAATCAAATAAGAAGAATGTCAACGTGAAGAAATAAAAAAAAATTAGAAAATTGATTAAAAAAAAGCTTTTTAGAAATCTCTTACACTTAATTTATAATAATATTTCAGTTTTAAGCTTTTCTAATGAATCCTCAGCTTTTTTAAACAAGCATCGAATTAAAAAAATGTATTTAGCATTTAGCAACTAATGAAATTTGGTTGGATTTTAGATCAAAATGTTTGTACATTGTTGTTCGCGATATTGTTTGTTCGTATCAAGCTTTTAATGATAAATTGCCATTCGACAGCATTCTACGTTTTAAAAAAGTGAGAATGCTTCTCTTAATTCAAAAGGGACACAGTTTTTTTTAAATATTTCAAGCAATAAAATTATGTTATTAGAAAAAAGGAAATTTAATACTGTGCAATAAATTTGTCTGTTCTTATATGTTTGAAAATTTTCTAACAATGCTATTCCAATTAATCGAAACTGACTTAGAAAGTGACCTTTTTCTTAAAAAAAAACTAATGTTAGTTACTTGAAAACAGTGATAGTTTTCAAAAGAAAATTTATAAATAAATAAAGCAATTTACAGTACATCAAATAATTTTTCTAAAGATTTTGATAATAAATTTCTATTGGTATTGTTTCACCAGGAAAATTTTTTTGGATATTCCACAATAACGCTCTCTAAATTTCCTCACAAACTTATTGGGTGGCTATTACAAATCTTACATTATTCAAAATTTCAGTCAAATAAATTAAATATAATTTATTCAGTAACTCGAGAAAATTGAATAAAATTGATTAAAAATATTTTTTTTCCAACTGAACTTCTCTTTTAATGTCAAATTCGGACTCGAAGGATGAATTAAGTTACAAGTTTTGTCATACCTAAATTTAGCTTGGTATTTTGCCTTCACTGAAAAAAAGGAGTCCGCATTAAATATATAGTGAAAAATACCCATACTCAGGATGTCCAGTTAAAAGTTTCTTATACCCAAATTTAGAGCGGCGATGGCTCAGGGGATAGAACGTTAGCCTTCCAATGAGGCGAACTGGGTTTGAATCCCAGTCGATACGAATTCCACACCCGGCTTGCACCAACCACAGTGCTGACGTGACATATCCTCAGTGGTAGACGTATCATCGGTTAGAGTTCCCTTTGCCGTCAGGCTAACCGTGGGACATTTTCGTGGTCTTCCTCTCCATGTCACGGAAATGCGGGTTAGCTCCATCAAAAAGTCCTCAATGAAGGCAAATTTCTCCCAATACTCGATCCAGGAGTTCCCTTGTCTTCTGGATTGGGTTCAAAGTTACAAGGCTACGGAGTTGAACATCAGTAGTCGTGAACCCATAAAATTGGGTCGGCTGCTCAACGACGGTTATAAAGAAATATATCTAAATTTATTGTTGAGATAGCCTGGTTGGGAGGGCGCTGGGCCCATATACAAGAAATCGTGGGTTTGAACCCCTCCGGCCGAAGACTCCCCGTGTAGTATATGGTGGCAGATGTACGGTAGAGTCACAGAGTCCTCCATGTTCCCATAACAAATCATACTTCTTGGGGTATTGATCCAGGAGTTTCCTTGTCTTCCGGATTGGCTCAAAATTACAAGGCTACAGAATTGACATTAGTAGTCGTGAAACCACTATTGGGTCGGCTGTTCGACGACGGTTATAAAAAAATTAAATATACCCAAATTTAGCTCAGCGTTTTGGTCTCCTAGAAAAAAAAAATCCCCTTTAAAAATCTAGTGAAAAATGTCGATACCCAGGATGCCAATAAGTCTTTAAATATTAAATTCATACAGTTTTATGGTGAAAATACTTCAATGTTTAATCAGAAATTCCAATTAGTTTTAAGAAGGAGTATACATTTCATTCCTTACCGTGCCTTCTTCTTCTGTCCTTCAAATGCTTCCGAAAACAAACAATAATAGCGAACAGAAGAAGTATCGTGATGAGAGAAGAAACCACAACTGGTACAACCAGTGCCAAATTTTTGTAGAAGGGCAAGTCTGTTTCCCTTTTACCAAATGCTGGATTCATCGTTGGAGCTGAAAAGTAAGGCAATAATTGTCAGAATCATTGTCGGCTCTGAAAAGTAACGCATCATAATCATCGGCTCCAATGCCGGAGCTGAAAATTAAGGCAATAATTATCAGAATAATTTGATTCATTATCGGAGCGGAAAAGTAAGACAATAATTGTCAGAAACATTGTGTGAGCTGAAAAGTAAGGCAATAATCATAATCATTAGATTCATTGTCAGAACTGAAAAATAAGGTAATGATCATAAAATACATTCTTTATTTAAAGAATTATATTATTACAGCAATTAAAGATTTGTAAACAACAGAGTGCTTATGGTATCAAAAAGTCCATCAGTTTTATTTATTTATTCAAAATTTTTTTTTCAAGGTTGAAAAAAGTATTTGAACAGAAAAAAGCATATGGAAAAAAGCAAGCGTGAAATATAGTTTAAAATATATGCATGAACACATACTATGTTTCTATACATACTCAATACACATAACTTGAATCATTAGAAGATGACATTATTCTAAAAATAAATCAAAATTATTGAAATACATGTTAATTTAACAATAACTACCTTCGTTTAAATTTTTTTATATGATTATATTAAATGAAGATCTAGTTTTTCGTGTAATAAAATTTGTTAAAAATTTTATTTAATCGCTTTTTGGAAGCAGTGTTTTAACGTCATAAAAATAAATTTTAATTCCTTTTTACATTCTAGAATCATTTTATGATTTTCATCACAAACTCCCAAGTAAGGTTGTTTATCTTTTTAGCCTATATATTCCATATCAATATTACTTTTTTTAAAAAATTTCTGTTGTAACTTTGTACTTTTCCTTAAATTCCGAAGAAAAATAATGCCAGAAGCAGAAAATAAATATTCTCTAAATAATAAAGTTTTTTTTGTTGATAGAAAACAAGCGTGGACGATAAAGTTAAAAGTGTCACAAAAAATTCAGACAATAGATTACACTTTAGACTTCTCTTCTTTTAATTTTTATATTTGTTTCACGTTTTTAGGTAAAATTCTGAAGACAGATGAATGAAATCTTTTATACGAATCTACATATTTTACAACATTATGTACTATCAGCGAAAAAAATAAAAATAAAAACCTAAATTTGATTAATTCCTCACGTTCAATATAATTTGATATTTCCTTACTGTTTTAAATTTTTTTAATGATTCATTATATCTACCTGGAGTGATATTTAACAAGTTTCAAAAACAAAAGAGAAGAAAGATCTTTTCGATAAGAGTCAAAAATTTGTTCTTTAGGATGTCTTTTAAATTTATGGTATTGTTATTGATTAAAAAAACAAAAACTAGTAGTTTTAAAATAAAGACTTAAATGTAGCATGCATAAAGTAACAAATGTTTCTTTAAAAACAATTTGTTTCAGCTGATGATACATTCCTAAAAATTCTTTTTCTTCTCCCTTTTTAAAAACAGAATTTTTTTTCAGCAACTTTTCTGCCGATAAACTTCAAAAATTAAATTACAATATAAATTTACTCAACACTGTCGATATTAAAATATATTCATTCGAAAACCCTGAAAAAGGACGAAGAAAATAAAGTTGTGATTTGTCGACATGATTTAAGCATCAATTCAGATCACTTGAACAAGCAAAATTTTAATTAAAACTGTTTTTTTTTCTTAATATCTTCAACTAATTTTGAACATTTTACCAAGAGCTTGTTGCGATAGCGTCCGCACAGTGTACTCCCCTTGTGTCAATCCGGCGTCACTAACAGCTGTGACCATTATGTCGTATTCTTTTTCCGCCACCAAGTTCTGCAGAACATAAATATCTGGAGGCATTTGAACTTTTTTGGATGACGAGATCCATTGGCTTTGGTACTTAGGTCGATATTGCACTATGAAATGTTTTATTGGACAACCACTCGTCTTCCACGCTGACAGAATAAGATTCGATGAAGTTACATTGGCATGGATGAAGGCTGTTTCTTGCGGAGACATAGGGGCTGAAATAGAAAATAGTAAATAATAAAAAAAAAATAGCAGGAGTCTAAAAATAGTAAGAATAATTTATAAAAAAGACGATCTTCTACACTTTAACATGTTTTGATGCCTTACAGTGTATTCATTAATAAAATCAAGATGCATTGATCAAATATGCAAGTTTTAGAGATTATAATCAGGGGTCTGTTTAGAAGAAATTTGGGTCCGTTAACGGACCCTTCACTAAATATCTTTTCACAAAAACGGACCCTTCACAAAATATTTTAACAAAAAAACGGACCCTTCACAAAATGATTTTTCCTTTTAATCGGACCCTTCACAAATTTGTTTATATTCACTATTGTTTTGTTAATCGAATAAACCCTTCCCAGGGCAGAAAACAAGAAAGATGGATGTAAACGAATTAAGTTTTGTCTTCGGCAGACGATTCTTCCATTATTCGTCCGAAATGAATATTCTGCGTTCAGCAGCATAGACTGAATACCAAATATTTGTATGTTGCATCTCTAATTTAGAAGCAGCAATTGCTGTTTATTTTTGGAAATTTATTTATTTTTAAATTATAATTTTACAGTGCCGAGCATAATCTTGTATCTATTTACAGTTTAAAAACTCCATGAAAATGTTTTTCGCAATAACCGGACCCTATTTGCACAAATTCATAAAAGCGGACCCTGGTTGAAGGAATGTGAGTAATTTTTTCACAATCTCACGAAAACCGGATCCTTCACAAAATGTCTGGAAAGACCCCTGATAGTAAGTATTTATAATTTCATATTCAAATCGTATCATAGACCAAATATACGAGACAAAAAAATTATTTTTCTAAAACTAAACAGAAACAAACAGAGCTTTGCTCCGCATTTTTGCTAAAAAGAATCTGTTAATATTAATTATATAGGTTAGTTACTGATTACCTAGTGAGCTCAAATTTTAAATTTCTAATGGCAATACATGTTTTAATTGTAATCTGAAAAACTACAATTTAAACTTATGATCCTATGTAAACCTAAAATGAATTTACTGTATATCATTTTGAGCAAATTAGAGACGTCTGAGATATTGAGGCAGAAATGAAAAATAATGAAATAAAAATTGTAAGAATAAAATAATTACAACAATTTATTAAAAAGACCAACTTTTATACTTTAACATGTTTTGATGCCTTACAGTGTCCTCATTAATAAAACCTAGTATGCATTGATCGATATTTTATAATAAGTATTGTAATTTCATATTTAAAATTCGATTATTAATACATGTGTATATATAATGAACAATGATTATATAATGAATAATTAATATATAATGAATAGTATTATATCATACACCAAATATGGGAGACAAAGTAATGTTACTTTTTTTAAAAGTAAGCAGAAACAAATAGAACTTCGCACCGCATTTTTCTTCTAAAAAGAAAGTATCACCAATAAAAATATTGACCGATTTCCGATTAGCTAGTGATCTCAAAATTTTAAATTTCAATTGGCAAATCATGTTTTAATTGTAATCTGAAAAACTACAAACTTATTATCCTATTAGTCTAAAATAAATTTATTGTCAATCATTTTAAGCAAATGAGAAAGGTCAAAACTAAACAGTGCTGGATGACAATACAAGTTTCAATCGAATCTATAACGATATTACATGGCCAAAACGCTTTTATCTTTAACGGAAATTTCTACCCCTTTACGAAGCAAAGAAACTAACAAAACGAAAAAAAGAAAAAGATAAAAATTTTTTAAAACTGCACTTTCCAAAAAGATTAAAGAATGGAAAAAAATTATTTTATTTTTTGTCAGACGTGAAACAAAATCGTATTACTTTCGTAACAAACTTCTATTATCACCAAAAAATATTTCTGCCACGTATTACAAAATGCAAAAAAAGGAGATAGTTACCATAAATTCGCGACAGCACGTATAATACTATATAGTCTGTTTTTCAAACAAACAAAAATATTATATTTCTCATGCACAGTAAATACTGTTCGTGCGTCAGAGCACCAAAATGGGGTTTCACAAAGTTTTTCGCTATACCAAGAAGCAAGGATAGTTCATGGTGTTGTGAAACACTTACAGTCTGTGGCTAAATTATCAGACGCCCTATAAGATTTTATGTAAAATCTTAATTATCAGGTGATAGATACCTAAGGATAAGTTAGAATAAGATAATCAAATTAAGTAAAAAAAAATAACTTTATTATTTTATTGTCTGTGCATTCCCCAAGATCTTCAGTAGCCCTTTGTCTGTAATAGATTTTATAATAATGATAAAAATATTTAAAAAAATTAAGCGCAAGATCTTTTTACCAGACGTTAACTATATGTTCAATATTTTTATGACTTTTCCCTATTTGTATCTATAGTTTAAAAGTGGAAAATATTAAAACAACTGGAATAATATTTCTTTTTTTTAATAATTTACGCACTATTCAAGTTCTTTTGAAAACTCATAAAAGCACCGTGCACACATTTTATAGTAATGCAAATACAATTAATGATAAATTATGTAATTATTACAAGCTAAAATATTTCGAGTAAACAATGTGTAATTTAAACCGAAAACTACATTGCATTTATTCAATTTTTGTTCAAAGAAATGGCAGATCAAACTATTCCCTAATTGTTAAATGTGGATATCGATGTTTGGTTAGCTATTTGAAAATAAATAGCCATAGGTCTCAAGTACTAATAACACCAGTATCAATCCTCAAACACGAATCACTTGACACCCTACATTAAAGAGCTACCTTTCGTAATATAAATAAAACTAAATAAATAAAGAAAATTGTATTAAAATTATTAAAAAAATGTTTATGTTAGTGTTTTTTTAGAGATCGTGTACAACTTTATAATTTTAAAAATATAATAATTTCAATAATTATAATTCGGTTATTACTTTTTAAAATATTTTCAAATACTTCATAAAAATTAATTAAAATACTTATAGTTTATTATTAAAAGAGTTTTATAATTGTATTGAATTATTATTATATTTACTTTACGTCAATTCAATTCGCTTTTTTAAGCTACGTGGTTCACGTTTATAATTTTTAATTTTTATTTCCTATTGCAGAGAAAACTGAATTAACGACGCATACAAATAAAACAGTTTAATGTGTGGCCAATATGGTCTTACCTGCTCCTTTTGTTCTGATGAATACTGGCGTGCTTGGCTCACCAGTTCCCAGACTGTTTGAAGCTGTCATATAGAGCTGATATCTTGTACCGCATCTCAGACCTTTCAATGTGTGGTAATCGATGCTATTATTAAGAGTTTCAATTCTCCAATCTTCATTTTCACTTTTGTAGTGAAGGCTGTATTCTAAAATTCAATGTTACTAATCACATACAATAGCTTTAGGTTCCGAAGAATCAATTTTAACTTTATAAATCCCTTCTTGGAAATTCTAATTAAATATTTTAAGCTAATAGCAGTATTTTACGTTATAAAAAAATTGAAGTGAGGTTTGAAGCGTTATTATTCTTTCTATTTCTACGAATCTAATTATTAATCCTAAAAAAATTAGGAAAATCATAGTCTCAAATTTTGCAAAATTGTTAAGTATTGCAAAAATTAACCAAATCCTTGCTAAAGTAAAACATTTTGTTAATGATCTTCAGTTATTTTCTTTTTTAATCTGTTTCATTTTGATCAAAATATCGCTCTACAGTTTTCCTAAAACATTTTCATGTGGAAAACTAGAACAAATTAATTCGAAATTTAAATGAAGAAAATAGCAATTAGAGCTTGATTCGTAAAAAAAAGTAAAAAGGTCTCATTAATTAAAAAAAAACACTGATTCAATGCTTATTTTTTAATCAAGATTGTAGTAAAATTTTACGCGCTTGTATAACTAAATTAAGCATTACTCGAGCTAAATTTGTAAGCTTTAAGCAAACTATTTTAAAATGACAATGTTTCAATATCAAAAAAGCAAAATAATATTTATTAAGTAACTATGTATTTCTTACAAATAATGAAGTACTCACTACATTTTACGTAAATATATTCACCTAAATTGTATACATTTTACCTATTCAATCTCAAATTTCATTGCTTATCAATGTATCATAAGTGTACACTGTATCATAAGTGATAATCAATGTACTGATAAAATTAGATAAATCATAACTCACTTCAATTCTGAAGTATAAAATTAATAAATTTTGAAACATCAAAAAATGAGTTGTATTATTTTATAAATGTAATATGGGATAACTATAAAATTTCAATTTCACAATATCTTAAATTAATGCCACATTTTCATTTATCCAATTTTAATTTTTGTGGATTATCATTGTATCATTGTAATAAATATGTTTCATACGTTTATGTAACTAAATAAAACGTAACTCAAGCGTAACTCAATAGATAAAAAGCAATCTCTAATCCCAATATATTAAATTAATCGAGTTTGAGACATTAAGGAATTAAAAAACAGAAATATTTTTTCGAATGGAAGGTTTCGAAATATTTAGAAAGTTTTTCCCAATTATTAAATCTTCTAAACATATAATTTTTCACGAAAAAAAGTCCCTTTATTATTTTCGCGTTTAGTTGAAAGAGATGGGAGACTCCAAGGAAAGAAGTTTTCAGTCTAGCTTAATTTAAATATTACAATTTTCCTTAACGACACCCAAGAGCATGAGACACTTTAATGATATGTAAATTTACACAAAAGAGTTGGGAGAGAAAGCAATGTTACTCAGATGTCTGCAAAATATGACACCAATATTTGCTAAAAATTAATTAACTTTTTTTTTTATATTTGTAAAAAGATAAGGATTTTTACAAACAAAATGGTTTTTGATATTACTCTTATTCAAGCTTTAAAAAGACACGTGGATGTAAAAGAGAAGGATAAAAGAAATGTTTTATGCATTGTATATTAATAAACAAACAAGTTATATTTAGAGATTAAAACACAAACAGGCGCTAGAAAAATTTTTTTCTCCATTGATCATTTTCAGGAAAAATACTTTCAATCAATTTAAGAACAGTAGCTTTGAAAATAATTTGCTCAGAATAGGTAAATTTTGGAAAAAGGATAAGTATTTCAAAATAGTAATTCGAAACCTCGTCAGTTTTTTTTTTTAAATTTAAGTTTAAAAGTAAATAGATGTTTTATCAAAATATACAACTATTGGAAATAACTTCGGTGCCAAGTTAGTCGCCAAATCACGATAAAACTTCTATATCTGAATTTATTTAAATGCAATATTTCATAATTATTGTCAGAAAACATAAAATAAAGATACCAGTTCAATTGTGCGAGAATAGACTTTCCATCGTAATGAGGCACTCCCAGCCACGGGACGATATTTCTGCTCATTGTGTACTGTGCTTACTTTCCTAATACAGTTGTGACAATTTATTTTATCACACCCTGTATCTATATTTTTTTTCATAGCAGAGCTGCCTTTAAAGTCACGGTGTTGAGGTGATGACTACAAGAGATTCTTAGATATATTCTTATTATGGAAACTCCAGGTTAGACTTAAAGAGAATCGTGTAAATTAAAAAGTGAAAGCTGGTATGAGGACAGTGACCTAGAGGCCATCACTCACTAAGGCACAGTTAAAAACGCTTTCAATTTTCATCAGATAAGGAATAACATATACTGTACTATCGAACACTCTTTTTAGTGAGTAACGTGTAACGAGGTAGTGTAGAGTAAACGCCAAAGCTTCACAATTTTACAGAATTTTGAATTTTTTCTTATTAAAAAAAATAAAATAAAGTAAGCAATTAGCCAAATGTGGTGGCTCAGGGGATAGAGTGTTCGGCTTCAAATGAGATGAACCGGGTTCGAATCCCAGCGATGGTTGGTCGATACTTATACTGTACCCGGCTTTCACCAATCACAGTGCTCATGTCAGTGGTAGACTGATTATGGGTTAGAGTCTCCTTGCCGTCAGGATAACTGTGGAAGGTTTTCGTTGCTTTCTTCTCCGAGTTGCACAAATTCGGGTTAGTACCATCAAAAAGTCCTCCACGATAGCAAATTTCTCCCGACTCTTGATCGAGAAGTTCCCTTGTCTGCTGGATTGGGTTTAAAATTAGAAGGCTACGAAGTTGGGCACTGGAAGCCGTAAACCCAAAAATTGGGTCTGCAATTCAACGATGGTTATAAAGTAAAATAAAGTAATCGAGCAGCCGGCAGTGAACCATGACGAAGAACTACTGCATTTTTTCCTTTAATACAATGAAGAATTTTACCAACTCTTGGAGTAGGTTCAGAAAAACCGGATGTTGGAAGCGAAGGAGCTGAACCTAAAATTGATTCGAATAAACTTAAAACACATGAAAAATCTGAGTAGAGATAGATATGGGCTCATGGCAATAGCTGCTGGCATGAACTGTAAGGACAATAAACAAAACATGATTAACAGTCGTCTACGGGGGAGAAACGATATCCACAAATACACTTCAAAGAATGTAAAGATTCTTAATTCGGCAAGAGAACACAGTTCAATAAAGCGCCTTTTATCAGAATAAAGCCTGAACAAGTCAAAAGAACTGCAATGACACAGCTTCACTAAGATTGATCCTGCCAATCTTATAATAAAGCAAGTAAAAAAGGACAAAACTAGAAGCGTACTTATTCAAGTTCAAAACGAACTCGAATTGAAAAGACTTAATGCTGGATTAAAAGAGGACCTCGAAGACAAATTTACCTGCACATGACCAGTATTGAGAAAGCTCAGTCTTCTCTAATGTTGTTGTTGACGAATGCCTTTTAAGGCAGAGGGGTGAAATTGTTCTTGATTTCTAATAGCGATATCTACGGCCAAGAATTCGACTTCTGATACACACATACGTCACACCCGTTTATAGGACGAACCCATTCATACATCCAATCATTCATCCGCAGATCGTAATTTTGGCCAGAATCAGTCATCATCTTCGACCGGCGGGGTTTGAACCCACGAACTCTTGAACATGGGCCCAGCTCCTTACCGACCAGGCTAGCCTTCTCTAATAAGTTGAAGAATAAGTCGAAGGAAAAACTTTAAGAGAGCATAAAGGAAAGTTGCTTTCCAATACCATTGAAAGTTGGTACCCATTGGGTGGTCTCAATGGATCCCTACCATATTTATTTGATACTCCCATTGGTTAGATTAAAAAGCGGATGGCAAAAGACTTAAAGTACAAGATTATTTAAAAAGGCTACGCGACCTTTAAGTTCTGTGGACTCTACCATAAGAGGTATGAATGTAAAAATCCAGATTTTGGGTCAATTTCGGATGTTCTAGGATCTGAGAATTTCAAAAAAAAGAGTGCTTGTATCAAATGCAAGAAAACTAATGAAAGGTACAGAACAAAAATGAAGACCGATTGATAAGCAACGAACGACTGATGCTATTCAGTAAGAAGAATTCTGAAACAACACCACTAGAGAACAGTTTACTTATCAGATACTATTCTACTTTGAGCTACTATTGTGATGTTTCCAGCGAAGAAAATTTCGATGCACATTAATTATTTATTTATTTTTACTGTTCTTTTGCTTGAGCGTTTTTTATCATTCCAATTTTTTTCCAATTTTGATTATACCACTTTGTTATGTACGGTTTTAATAAATGTTTTCGGAGATAACGTTACTTGCGGCCTTCATGTCTGGTGTCAGTCCGGTAGATCGACATGTGGTTGATGTCGGGCCTGAATTTTTCTCGTTTGCATCCAGTTTGGCATTGCCATCCTGAATTCCTGAATTCGGTGCTGAATAAGGTCCTGAATTCGGTGCTTGAGTGCTCCCTGGTCTCCTTCGTCCATCGCTTCCATTTGTGGTGCTCTTCTCGCGAGCGACTCGGAGCTTAGAGCTGCGACTAGATGGGATGTTCCACGACTTGACTGAAATGGGCGTCTCAAGCCTGTAGTGCGTCTGGAATAATCATTATGACAGCTATCCGTGAAAGAGCGGTAAAAGTTCTATTTCTAAAGGATAATGTTTCTCAATGTTTGAATGAACCTTTCAATTTCGATTGAAAAATATATTTGAATATACTAAATACCACAAAAAATAGGGCTTCGTTTTTTTATATGCAGAATCAAGTTGCGCTATTTATGATGTCTTTCATATAATTATATATTCTTATTTTACCGAGGAGAAAAAGTATTATATTTAATGACTCAATATTCATAAAACTTAAATTATTCTATCACGCAAGTAATTATTTTAAGCGCGATTCTTTCCCAACTGCATAAGCAGTATTTTTTTTGAACTGAACAAAAACTCAAATTCTAAACTGTAAGCACATTTTATGAGTAGCTAAAATGTTTGAGTTTCGTTACAAATGTAAATAATATTATCAATAAACGAGATTACATTACTTGGCATTACTCTACATAAACTAATATTGTAATAAAAAGAAATGTTGAAAGTATTCCAAAATCCGTAAAGATACCGGCAATTATTAGCTTTTTAAAGAACTGAAGAGGCGACCCGTTTTTATACTATAAGTGTTAACTTTTAACGAAGTGAAAGCTCGTCGTTGATCGTTTTACTCTGGAAACAGTATTAAATGTTTAGCTCAAAATATGTGCTAAGCTGCTCAAAATGCGTGATGAAAAAAATTATCAAACCTCGAAATGTGTGATCCAAATATTGTACGTAGTTATTTAAAAAAATGGTCTAAGTATAGGATTTCGTTTTTCTCTTACGAAAATTACTTAATAACTACGTTAACATGTGATAAATAATTATAATATGGTATGTCTATAAAATAAACTGATGGATTCTAATAAATTCATAATGTCATGTCGATCTATTGTATTTGCCTAAATCACTTAGTATATTTTTCTCAAATTAGTTGAAACGATATTCAAAATCATCAGTTCCTTTTATAAGATTGTCACGAGTCCTATAAATTTATAATAGTGATATTAGAGTGACGCTGCATGAATATATATTTTTGAAATAGTTTTATCGTTTAGTGTTGAATACGAAGCTGAATTTTAAGACATACCTTAAAGTTACATTTGTAATATATCCAGCCATCCCAAATCCAAAACACGGAAGTTTGCACTGCAGTAATTATGGTTAGTGTGTTAAAAAAGTAAGGAAAAGTGCAATAAATTCATCGTTTAGCTGTTACATTTGGCTTGAATATTAAACAGGTGCATTTTCTGGTGTGTCGTTTTCGTTAACACGAAATTTGAACTGTCTCATTTTTATTAAACATGAAAAACTGAACGATGGATGAAAAACTCTCCGACGAATTATAATATTTAAAAAATGTGCTATTTTTTTTAATGAGGTGTAAGCTACTTTTTCTCTCCATAGATTAAATTGTAATCGGAAATTAGTTTTGATCAAATATTTTTTGCTGCAAGTTTGGGTGATTTGTTTGCATTTAATTTACAAATGATGTATACGATTTAATGCAATATAGATAACAGACTGTATACTTCAAAACATGACCCAAAGTTATTATTGGTTGCGAAGCAGACTATTATTTTGAAAGTAAGCACGAAATACAATTGCACATCTTTAACCTTTATTATATCTTATTATTTAGGTAGATAAATGTTTCTAAAATATTTAAATTAGCATAAATTATCCAAAACAGCCTGTATTTACCTTTGATTGTTAGCTCAATTGTGAGCAATTATGATTCTTATGTTTATCAAATAAATTCCTCTCATATTTCAGACAGTAAATTTGTATGCATAACGAATGTGTTAATCATAGAGACATCGAACAAACTTATAGTACAGTACATGCACCACAATAAATTAATAGTTTATTGCGGTTTCCCACTATTGTATCATAATTGCGAAGATCTATCGCCTGCAGGACTTCTTCGAGGGTTAATCTCACAAATCTGAGGTCCAGAACAACCGAGTATTCTTAGTTTGATTCAAAACTTGCAAGTTACAAGTGCGGTAAATTTAAATTCCACATACATTTGGAGAATTGATAATTTAAAATATTTTCTTTATTGGGCTTTTCGAATGCTTCGAAAGTTATTTTGACCAAATTACTTTCCCAGTAAGAAATACGAAATCACAGCCTCCTTAGTTATAAGACATTTCAAAGTATGTTAGTTTTTCTTTTCATTTAGTTTTAACTGATTTTGCTCTTTTCAGAGAAATATTTTCTCGATATGAGAAATTTATGGGGTATTTATCCATTTTACTGCTGCAAAGATGGTAAACTCACCGTTAAAAAAACGGTAAATTCATCAGTTTTTTTAATTTATTTTTTAATTTTTTATTTGAATTGATAAAAAAGCACTAAATTAAAAATAAAAATAAATAAAAATTAAAATAAATAAACTGCTGAATTTACCTGCTCCGGTGAAATGGATAAGTACCATTTACTGCCTAACGAATTCTTCGTGTCCCTTGTGAGCTAGGCTTAGAAACGTATAGGCAATCTTGGAAGCTAAAGTAAAATTTGAAAGCCCCCGTGGGACAATGCACTTTGCACTGCTCGACTTGAGTACAGACAATTCTTATAATTTATTCCATTGGAACGATTTGATTTTCCAAAAATGCTTATTAAGATTCTTAAATATGCTTTCTTCATACCAGATTTTTAAAACAACTAGAATTAATATATCATGTACCGTCAATAAAAAAAAGGAGTATGATGCTATTTCATAGAAGTTGCTTAAGGAAACTAAAAAATATTGTCAACAGAGATTAAGACGTTTCTTACATCGGTTAACATTAAAAAACATTGCCTACTGTTTGGATTATTTGTTTATCCACACCTCGTCTTCTTACATCATTTATAACCTGGACTATGAAGACGTGGTGTGCATGACGCAGCTTTGGGGCTAGCTTTGAGGGGCTAGTACTAACACTTTGCCTAGATTTCAATTTTAATTCCCAATTTTCTTTTCTGCCATCTTAGAGTTTCCGTTGTTTGAGTTTATCTCGCTTTTTCTTTCAAATGTTAGTGATAAAAAAGGTTTTAATGCCTAATTGCCTTGTTTAGACTTCAAATAGTTACAAGGTTAAAATATTTCCATATCATTAAAAACAAGTATCCTCTTTTAAATGAGGTAACCCCTGACTTTAAAGTAGGAAGCGAGTTCTTTCGTTAAAGAGAAATTAATTTATTGACTGCAAATTTCGTTTTTAAACTGAAGTGTGACAAGACCAGCAAATTGTGTCTTTACACGACGTATATCTCGAGCTTGGCCGGATCCAGACTCTAAATAATCCGATGTATCTTAAGCTCGGGTGTGCTTGGATAAAAATTCTTTGGACTCGGGTGCGCTCAGACTTCGAAAATTTATCCCAAACTTATATTTAATAGATATATCAAGGAATATAGAATAACAATTCGTCTGGTTCAGACCTCGAAGAATGAGACCGAACTACTAGGAGTCGCATGATGCAATGGAATGAGTGGCAGCAGCAGTGGCTCTTTCAGGATAGAGCACTCGCTTCCCAATGAGGTGACCCTGGTTCAAATCCGAGCAACGGCTGGTCGTTACGAACTCCTCACCCAGCTAGCACCGACCACAGTGCTAAAAAATATTCTCAGCTTCTGACGGATCATGAGTTAGAGTCCCCTTGCCGTCAAGCTAACCACGGGGAATTTTCGTGGTATTTCTCTCCCTGCAACGCAAATGCTGGTTAATTCCATGAAAAAAGTCCTCCGCGAAGACAAATTTCTCTCAATACTGGATTCAGGAGCTTCCTTATCTTTTGAACACAAGGTTACTGAGTTAGACATTGGTATTCGTAAACTCAAAATTGCTTCTCTTGTCAACGACTGTTATAAAATACAATATAATGGGTGACTCAGAACTTACTATTTGATCTCCTTTTAAAAGTTATTTAATGTTTTTTTTAAATTTTGAAAGTTGTTTCATTGTTTTATTTGCTAGTGGTCTAGCTCTGTAGTGCAACATTATGACTAAGTGAGAAATTTAGTAAGACGTTTTGATTTGATCATATTTCTGAACTTAGTTAACTTTTTCAAATGCCGCTTATCGATTGATCTAGGTCAATTGTCTTAAGATGTCAGCAAGATGCTGTATTTTTAAGATATATTTCGTAGATGGGAGATTAACTGGACCAGTGAGTAAACACTGAGGGAAGACTTACAGTTGCTCAGTCATTACATCTTTATCTTTTTTGTTCCATCATCAAGTACTACTTGGAGAATAAAAAATTTACGAATGCTTTTCTTCACACTAGAACCATCGACCTTTCGCAAAATGACAGTGTTTTAATTTAACGGCTTTTGCTTCATTATATGTCGACTTTGACTATCCTACTTTTAGAATTATTATCGAAAATAAGGAACATATATTTTTAATTATTATGAAAAAAGAATTGTACAATCAGGTATAAAAGAATGTTACCTGGAGTTGCAGACTTTTCTTTTGAATCTTTTTTCCAATGGACCGTTATGGATGATGAGGTTGTTCCGTCAATCTGTACTGTAGGGGAAGTCGGAGGTGCTAAGAAACGACAGCAAAACATTAGGTATCAAGATTCTTTTATTTGACATTGTACCTCATTCTACATACATAATGATTTTAGTTTTTTCGAAACTTTGTAATGAACACGAGCATAAAGTTAAAAAAGAAGAAGATTTATCAAATAATCCTAAAAAATTAATCACTGAAATTAATTCTGCAATTTGATAACAGATAAAATCAGCATTTATAGCTATGTAATTATAAAACGTCATAAGCTTATTTATAAGCATTGCATGTTTTTTTTTTAAAGAAAAACACGTATGCGTGTTCAAATACAATTTACAAACATATAATATACAATTCTAAAAACTTGATTCAAACGTTTTTCGTTTAGCGAAAGGTTTATTCAGCGTATTAAAAGTTATCTAGTTTTCACTTTAGAAATCTAGTTCTCAAAGTCATATTTTTTTGAGTGAAACAAAGTATAAGACAATTGTAATATGATGGCATTAACTTTAATTGAACCTCATTATCAGGAGCTTATCACCACCCCTGAGATTTCGAATTTTAGAAAAAAAAAATTCGTTTCGTAATTTGCATCACGTTTATTACACCAAGAAAATCAATTATACTTTTTTTTCTTAAAAAATAAATAAATAAATAAATGAAAAATATTAAATGCATACGTTGCGAAACCAATGTAACTACTGAAGGACTTTTTCAGATACCATGTAGCTCTCTGCCATTTATAATAATCACACAAACAACACACAAAATAAGGCATTTATATGGACAATTTTCTCCCTATAGATATAGCAAACAGTTTTATAATAACCATTATTGAACGTATATGTTTATATCAGTAGGAAAAAAATACTGTTTTTACATGCTGTCATACAAATTACATGCATATAAGCAAAATTTAAAAAATGCTATAAAGATTAGAAGGAATTATATTAGATATCTGATTAAAATCAGTAAAAATATAATAACACTTTTCCCCTTTGTAGAAAAGAGAATGATAATTTTCTTTTATGAGAGTTTGAGGTATAAAAGAAAAGATACCTGTTTCTAGGGTTTGTCCTATTATCTTGTCAGATTTTGGACCAGTTCCAGCAGAGTTGTAGGCTTTGACAATAATTTCGTACTTAGTGAATGGTTGTAGACCCGTAATGTAGGTAGAATGATGTTCCTTTTCATTGTTCTCCACTTGTTTAAGTGTATAGCTCTCAAGTGATTCAGGTAGTCTGTATCCTACATAATAACCTCTTATACGGCCATGCTGAAATTCTTCGGGCGGTGGCTGCAAATAGAGATATTCTGCTTGCTAAAAAAGTTTAAATAATTTATTTTTTCTCAAAAATAGTGCAGCTCGACCTCACTATAAACAATTTTTCACTATAGCAGAAATCTTAGCAAAAATATTTTTTAACATATTGGAGTAGTATTGAATTAGTGATTGCAATAGTACACAACTTTGTCTACAAATTTTTAGCTAACTAAATATGTAGGATTTGTCTGCAACGAAGATACCATAAGATAATAAACATAACTATGAAAATCAGTGAAATCATCCATGTAAACCGAAAGATTACCAAATGGTGCAAATACCATATATTTTGGTCTTTTATTTTTTTTACAGGAATTAAGTCCTTTTAGCCAGAAATATTTTTATTATAGAGTATGGTAAATTTATCTGAACATTTTTCTCCGTCCAGTATTAGAAAAGTCTTGTGGGACAAATTAAAGGGACTTTTTTATTAATTATTAAGAAATATATTTCGGAAGAGGTGTTGTACTTACTTTCCACGTGACTTTAATGGACTGAGCTCCTGTCGATTGGACCTGCACATCTTTGGGAGAACCAGAAGGAGCTGTAACATAATCAAAAATTTCCAAATTAAATAAACAAATAAAATTTAACAAATAAAATGTATATAAACATCGCTCTTATAATTGAGAGGAATGAAATATACATTCAATAACAGTAGTGTAAACCGAAAGCTGAGTTTAAATTATAATTTATTAATTTTGAAAATTTTAAACAAATTGTATGTATAAAACTTAAAGCAATTTGTTACAAAATTAAGAGAGTTATTTTATTTATCTATTAGCGATGAGTAATGACTCAGTTTTTGAGGTCTGAGTCTATCCCAGCTCGAGATACATAGTATTACTTAGTGGTCCGAGCCACTCAAAATATGCATCGGAAATGGCCCAGTCCTTGCCCGTCGGACAAACAAGGATGTCTAAACAAGGGGAGTCATTAAAACTTTTTTTTAATCCATAATCGGTAGAAAACAAAACGAAGAGAAAAACTGAACTGACTGAAACTCGAAGATGACAAAAACAAAATTAAAATAGAAAATTGAAATCTTAAGTTAAATGAAGTTCTCTGACAATTAGTATTAGCCTCACAAAGCAAAAGCAGAGAACAGAAGTAGTAGATAGATGCAATATTTTATGCCTCATAAATTTTAAGCTTATCTGAATCAAGCGTTTGCTTAAAGTAGTAAACATTTATGGAAATTTTATCATGAGTTTGAGTTTGCGAGCCCGAAAACTCTTTATAGAAAATGTGCCCGAGCTCAAATCGTGGACGAGATCCAGCGGATCTTTCATGCAATCTTTGAATAAAAGATTTTATAATTATGTGCAAAATTTTTTAGAATAGCTAAAATTGTCTCAGTTATGTGGGGAAAATTTTAAAAATAAATAAAAGTATACATATATAAAACGTTAACGGGCCTACATTTTGACCTTTTTTTTGCTTACACTATGTTGAGCACATTTTCTAGATCGGTCTAATCAATTAGATTATTTAACGTTATGCTTTCGAACTGTTAAGATTAAATATTAGTACATGGAAAGTAATCTGCTTGCCTAATTTTTTATTGTGCGCATTGTGCATTACTAAAAACATTACTAAAAACATTACTAAAAACTTATCATTAATGATTTAAATTATTATTACTTTTGTTTTTAATTTTACATTAATTATCCTTTTTTGTGGTATTACTATACGTATTTTCTGGTTCAATGGTAATTTAAATTCTTGCAATAAATGTTTGACCAGCTTTACGTCTTAAATGGATTTCATGAAAATTATTCCTTACCTTCTTCTTCAGTTGTAACATTTATGACCGAACTTGGCAAACTTTGCCCCACTGAGTTTTCGGCGATTACTCTCACAAAATACAGTGTTATAGGGTTGAGTGCCCTCAGAGTGGCGCTGTTCTCTGAACCCGATACTATCAGTTGGGATGTCTGTCCATTCCAGTTTGAATCTATTTAAAAGAACATTAGAAACAATACAAATCGACAAAATAATAAACCTATAGCATTATGCCTATGTACTCAATAATAAGATACACTCTTAGAAATTTCCCTGAAATTAGGAAAGTTGGACGTTAAGTTACACGGCCAAACAATCAGCTCCCTACTTTGAGAAAATAGTTCAGTTCTTGTAATTTCAACTAGCTCCCTACTTTGAGAAAATAGTCCAGTTCCCGTAATTTTAAACACCTTCCTAGTTTGAGAAAATAGTCCAGTACTCGTAATTTTAACCAGCTCATTTCTTTGAGAAAGTAAAGCTTAGTGCCCGTAAAAGTAATGCATTTCAACAAAATTTTTAAAGTTAATACTACAAATATATGAAGATTTTAATGTAATGCTGGGTTGGTGCTCAACTGCTCTATTTCCAATCAGTGTTTTTTTATGTTGAGAGAAAAATACGCAAAATAAAAAGAAAATTCTTTGATACAATAAAAGCAAAAACATCTTTGAACTAATTTTTTTCACAATTTAAAAAAAGCAAATTGTGATTTATTCATTGATTATTCAAAACTACTAGAATATGCTGAAATTTACCGTGTTCCTTTCTCTATGGAAACACCAAGAAGATCAGTAATTTTTAAGGAAGTGCTTCAGTAATAAGTTTGATAATGATATATGGTTTTATAATAAGTTGTAAAGCTTTGTAATTTTATCATGATAACCAAAATTAATGTATTTCTTAATAAATTTATGGTATAAGAACTGTAGTTTTATTGGTACACCGTTGCCATATAAACAGAAAAATTACCAGATGAATGGTTCAATAACCATTGTTTTATTAACGAGAATTATGTTTTCATTTTTATTTATTTATTTTTATTTATTCATTATTTATTATGTTTTTTACCAAAACTGTCACTACCATATGGTACAGTAATTTTATCGGAATTATTTTCTCCATGCAGATTAAATTTGTCTTTGCTGATTAAATCTGCTGCATCAAACTAAAGCTTAACCAAGCATTAAAAAAAATTTAAATTTAGCGAAATTGAATTTCCTTGTATTATCAGCTTATCTTTTATCTTCTCAGGTTTTCATCTTCCCCAAATAAGTCTTAGTTCATTAACTTTCAGTATTTTCTTTTAGCTGTGCTGCTAATTTATCTTGCTTTGTAATTTTAGACATTCTCTTGTCTTTTGAAACTAGGGAACCTACCAAATGAAACATATTTTACCTCCCACTTTGCAGATAAGTTTTAAAAATTTTCTTCATCACTTCAGTGCATAGGTTCTATTTTTGGGCTTTTAGTAAGTCTGAATATTTTTCAGAAAGACAAAAACTACTTAAGCTGATGTTATTAAGGGTATTACGATCATTTTTGTTACAAAGCAAAAATATATAATGAAAACTGAAAAAAGACGAAAAAAGATTACCAGATATTGTCTGATATTGTACAATGCTGCCTGTAATGTGACTGTTGCCATTGTGTGTTATTTCCCAAAATAAACTAACTGATCTGCTAGTAGTATTCAAAACTGAAACATTAGATGGAGCATCCGGAAAACCTGCAAAATAGAGGAAAAAAAGAAAATATACAGAGAGTAAAATATTTTTAATCCTTTAAAAATGAATACAAATAGAAAAAAAAATAGTTTTATTAAATGTTTGTTTTTAGGGACTACTCAAACATTACGTAAACACATAACGGCAGGTGGTGGTATGTCATTTATTTATTTTCACTGACAATGGGAGAGAAGGGATAAGTGCAATGCTTATGCATGGCATTGAAAACCTCTTATTTTAATTACGCATGGAATTATTTCATATCTGGAAGAAAAAGTTGAATTCTGGGGAAAAAAAATTTGAAATTTTTTTTCAAACGGCGTCAGAGGATCAACCGTTTTATACGCAAAAGATTCCAGAAGGTTATTCTGTCCGAAATTTCTCAAAATGATTTAAACCATAATTTTTTGTTTTATGCAAAGTTACATATTTTATTAGAATTTAATCCTGAAATAAGATTACTACAGTATAAGTCAGAGTTAGAGCAAACAACCAGGGGACTGGTCTTGAAACTTCCTTACGCAAGCGTAAGGGCTTTTTGATTGGCTTTTTTTTAAAGACAAAGGGGGAGGAGAAATCCAAAATTATTAAAAATATGCCTGTGGAATCGACCTCGGAATATTTTCCTTTTTAAAAGCCTCTAAATTCATTTTTATGTGGTTTTTTCAAGTAAGCACTGATACAAAAATCATTTTTCGTAACGAATCCATAAAACAATGATACAAACAACAATCAAAAATCGTACGAGGTATTGTCTTATAATCATGAGAACTGTTTTGGACTTAAGATTTGCACGCTGGCGATTACTATGGCAATAAAAGTAAATCATTTCAAAAAAAGAATTGGGGTTTGTCGTATTTTTTCAGTCAGTGGGGGAAATAAATTTAAATAGGTTTCTGTGATAAGCTTTATAATAGTGCCTAAAACCAATTAATATGCAATCCCATGTAGTGGCTGAAGATATTAACTGAAAAATCTTTCCAATTTTCCTCGCTTGAAATAAGTTTGTTCTTGTTTCATAGAAGCAAACAAATTCAGACGTTGAGTAATAAAATTTTCATGATATCAGTACATTGTTTTTCTTTTCTCTATGATTAGAGGTCATATACCTTAAATGTTTCTTAATAAGAAAATATTGCAATGAGCTGGAAAAAGAATCTATTAAAGCCACGCCCGATACGATAACTAGATCTGGAATCATAATATAAACTTCGGTATACAGTAAAAAACAATAATTTGTAAGTTTTACATTTAAAGTAACTATGTAAATACCTTGAACAATGAACTGGATGATTGATTCGTCCATCCCTATTTCGCTGACTGCTGTACAGCTGTATTTTCCAGAATCTTTTCGTGTTGCGTTCACAATGTGCAGCTCTGAAATTGTTTGATGAGTTTTGGATATGATGCGAACAATATATCTGAAAAAATTATACTTATTAAGAAACAATTGAGAATTGTTTAATGAAATGTTTAGACTATTTGTTTAAAAATAAAATTAAAAACAAAACTACACAACTAGAACATTCACTAGAAAATTGTAAAAATTATTTAAATAACTAATTTTAATGCGCCATATACCGTAATTGAGCTAGTCTTATTAGTTATTTTCGATAATTAAAGCCAAGTGTCAACATAATTTAGTTGAGAGATATTCACAAGAGATTTTGATTTCTTATAGGAACTTGGTGTTTTTAATGATCCCGACGGAATTAACGTGCGTACTAGTCACCAATTTTACTTGGGGATTCTTCGAAAGACGGGATTTGAACTCACGTTCTAACAAACACGAGCACAACGTCCTACCAGTGTGGCTAGCACTACCCTGTGATTGGAAATAAATTCGTTCATCATCAAATTTAACAAGGCATTCTTTTTTAAAACAGTTAAATTTTTACTCCGAAGTAAAACCTTCACGATTCAGCAACCGAGAGTTATATTTTGTTAATTATGAGCACCATTTCGTCACAAAAACACGTGATTTGTGACAAAACGCAAGCTCTCAAATATATGACGAAAATGCTTTTTCTGCTTAAAACCATCGCTATCTCCCCACCTCAAAGTCTTCGTAATTCTTAATTTGATGAAACTGTGATGACTAAATACGAAATATTTCTTTTATTTTGACGAAATTCGAATCATCGACGAAGTGGTGATGAATACTCGTATAGTTATTTCGTCACTTAGACGAAATATTCGCCAGGAAACTATTTTTCTCAAAAACGTAGGAAGTTTATTGAAATTTGAGTATTAATTTTATACACTTTTTTTTCTCGACAGTGTAATGCACCACCATTAAGTTTTTCATTATTGGTTTAAATTTGGATGCTATATTAAATAATAATAACAATAATAAAGTACACACTTTTATAAACAGCCCAAATAGTGTGTGCTTTTCTGAAATGCACCACGTGGCTGTTTCGTAGAATTCCTTTTGTGACTGTTTTGCATTCTTTTTGTGAACGTAATTTTGAATCGAAAAAATGAACAGTGTAAACTTCTAAAAACAGCTAAATTGTCCGTGGTCTTTTGAAGATACTACGTTGCAGTATTCCTGCGTTGACTTTCTCACTTTAATGTTTGGAGTTGCCTCATTTTAAAGAGGGGATATTCGTTTTTAATGATATGAAAATATGTTAACTTCCTAACTACTGTCACCGATAAATCTCAAGAAAACTGTTTATTATGTAATAATATGGTGAAAAAGTGTTGCAGAATGTCAATCAACATGAAATTAATGTAATTATAGAAAAAAATGTTACTTTCTATGTAATGAATTTAATGTAATTATTTTAAAGAAGGAATGTTAATTTTTAAATAATGAATTTGATGAATTTAAAGAAAGAATATCAATTTTCAAATAATAACTTTAATGTTAGTATCTTAAAAAAAGAATGTTGATTTTTAAATAATAAATTTGATGTAATTATTTAAAAATAATACTGTTTACTTGTAAAGAATAAATTCAATGCAATTATTTTTTAAAAAAAGATTGTTAATTTTTTAGTGTTGTGACAATTGCGCTTCACTTATTCCTTTAAATTAACCTAAATATTTTTTATTGCATTTAAATCACTTGGCGTAGGTGGTGAATTAAATAAATGGCGTAGATTACTAACATAATGTAACATTATTAAATAAACTAGTTTTATTTAAATATATTTTAATTAAAGCAAGCACTCGTTTTTAAAACCTGAAATCTAATTTATTTGGAACAAATGATCAGATTTCAACACTTTATCTTCAGATAGAACTTCAATGTAAGTAAATATACTATTTCGAAAACCTGACTTCTAATTCTGATTAATCCTATTTGAATAAGCCCAAAACGCTGAAAGCTTTTGCAATTATAATGCATTTTTATTGTCTTTGAACTCACCTTTTGTTTGACTTTTCGTCTAAAACTCTTTTATCTTTCCGCCAGGTGATGGTGATGGGTGAATGCCCGGATGAATCACATTTCAGGGTGGCATTCGTTCCCTCTCTTGTGGACCGACTCTGGAAGGAATCTTTGAATCTTGGAGGAACTATACAATGAAATGCAAATAGTTCTTTACAATTTCATTGAATGTAAAAATAGAATTATTCCTTAAACAAGTGTAAGCCCTTTCATTCCCATTCCCTTAAATATTTTAATTAAGTGTAATATATTTTACAGAAATATTTTTAAAATAAATCGTATTTAAAAGTATAATACTTGAATTATATATATTTTTAGTGGGCTTCACCCCTTGTCCGGTGACGTTCTCAAATTCTCGAATATAGCTATACATACTTACATGGTGCATTATGTGCAGCTCTCAAAGACCTCGCTACTGGCCACGACTGCCTTTCCAAACATCTATTCCGTATAAATATATTACTAAGTCCTATTTGCACACCGTGTAATATCCAAGAAGAAATGGACATAAACCACATTAGGCACTGCCCCGCACTAAACTCGGGACACTTGTGGGAGGAGTATTGGAGAGCCCGCCACAATATGAACGATCTATAGACTCACTGTAGTTTTGCTTTTGTTGCATTATATTGTTCATCTTTCCTTCTGTTTCTCTTGTTATTGTCTGTTTTTTAACTACAGTTGTCTTCTGATCTGCCATTGGAAATAAAATAAAAAACTTACATGGCTTGCTTTGCAAAATATGCACCTCTTCCTCCCAACTAAGTTAAGCCTGTTTGAAGTGTTCTAGCGCAAAATCTTGCGAATCAATAATTAAAATCTTTCAAATTAATTCCTCATTATAAAATTTAAATTTTTAGTCAATGATGAGTTATTGAAAAAAAATTAAATCCAAAAAAGCATGTAACTTAAAAATTTGCAGAGACAAAGCATTAATTATACTTTTTTAAAAACAAAAGAGGTATGATGATATGTATCCTGCTCATTCATTGAATGTTTCTTTCATTCGTAACTGTCACCATCGCATTCCTCTGTACTCCAAGTACGACAAAAAAAAGGGCGTTGGCTACAGTCGAAAGGAAAGGTTATTTTTCATAAGACTTTTTACACCATACGTTAAAGGAGATTTCAAATTAAAAAGAAAAAAAAACATACTTAAAGTGCAGTAAGAAAAAAAAATTAAGAATAGGACTATGTTGAATAGGAGCTATCTATTATCTAAACAGTTTTCAAATGACTCTCGTACAAGGTTCAGAAAATGTTACCTTTAGTGACGGAATGACATATTTACAGACGTAATTTCAAATGAATCTGCACTAGCAAGCACCTAATATTAAAAAAAATAATCCAGAAGAATTTTAAAACTGTTAAATTGAAAAATTGCAATTCTGTATCCAGAAAAAAAAACTGTTAAGTTTAGACATTTGGTCCACTGAGATTTTGGAGTAGTATTAAAATACGATATAGTACTAAATTTTTGTAAGACTCTATAAAAATTAAATTTGGAATAATTATTGGATGCAGTTCTTACATTGAATGCTTATTTAATACATTTAAAAACAAAGACGAGGGAATTGAAGGTCAATCTTGCGTTGCATTTCCATTTGAATTATTTTTAGAATAATAATTTTTGAACAAGTCTTAAAATTTGCAAACCTTATTCACTCTTCTTTTTTCCCACATTTCTTTCTTCTTTTTTGTAGATTTCATCTTACTATTAAATTTTAAAATTTTAATTTTTTAAATTTTTTTTTAATTCTAACACATACTAACACAATGCTGAGAACCACAATCTTTTGGTTACTATTTCATTTACTATACGTGGTTTGTTTATATGTTCATGTAGTAAATAAAGTGCATGTTAGAAATATCACTCGAATTTCGAAGTATTTGTTTAAAATAAAATGCCAAATTTAACTCACCTAAAACCTGAAGCGTAACAATTTTGCTCAACCCAGCACCGATTCCGTTGTTTGCCTGACAAAGATAATTACCAGCATCGCTTTCTTCAGCATCTGAGATGACCAATGAACCGTTGTTGTAACGGTGAGCTCTTGGACTAGAGTGGACATACGTAAAATCACCAGCAGTGTTTTCTGCAATACAAAAATAATGGCTCAACAATAGAAGTATTGGATGGAGTCTGTCTTATAGTAACGCTAGCTATATTTTCTAAGTCTTAGCGACATTGAAATTTGGGGGGAATTTCGCGTTTGGGTTGTGAAGTTTGAATTAGCGTTAGCGCTAATTAGTTAAGGTTAGTTCGTAACTGGTTAAATGCTAAATTATTTGAAGAAATTTTTTATTTATTTAATTTTTAATAAAATAGTATGTGCTATTAAAATCAAAGGGCACTTGAAACTAACAACATTTTTTAACGAAGAATCTTACTGGCGTTATAGATTTATCATTATAAATAACCAGGTATGAAAGTTTAATTTTAATAATCGTCATTAAAATGTGTTAATATGTCAGGATGAATTAAAATATTTAGTAAAAGTTTTTATAAGAAATGAAATAACAAACCGATTTATTTCTTGAAAATTTATAGAGGAATTTAAAATTTACATTCGAATGTCAATTTGTAAAGGGAGAAAGTAATTTTTATATTGCCTTTATTTTTCTAATCATCTCGATCTGATTTTTAAATAATTTTTTTTCTTCCAGGTTTTAATAAAAAAAAATTTTTCCACTGTCTACGATTTCGATTAAAAAATTTTTTTACTTAACATTTCAGCTTATTGCTTAAACTTCCGTTTTATTCTTATTTAAATTTAGTTTTTGAAATTTATTTGAAGAAATATATTTGAAAATGTGAATGAATACTGATGATAACAATTTAAATATAAATGGTTCAGATGCTTAATAACTATTAAGTATTTTAAAGCTCTTTCTAACATCTTTTTGAAAATTTGTGGCTGTTCTCATTACAATGAAAAGAGCATAACTTTCGTAAAATGGAAGGTTATCCTCACCTGTAAATACCAGTTTCTTCCACAAGACGCTGGGAGAAGGGAATCCAACTGCCGAACAATCCATCCACACTGTGTTTCCTAGAACAACACTCGCATTCGTGGGCTCTACTGTCCAACGAGGAGGCACTGAAATAGTTTGTTTACAAATAAAACAATATGGTACCAACTAAAGCTCTTAAGATGTTATTATACACCGTACCTAGCTAATTTGCAGATCAACAAGAGTAATCAGCTAAAGTGCGGAATTAAGTCTCCTCTGAAATTTACCTTAAGTTAAGTTTTACCTTCAGTGTCGTTGAAGTTTGAGAAACTGTTTCTGTCATTCTATTAATTAATTTGTTGATTGTTTGATTGTATTTATTGACTTGATTCTTTAGAAAATAAAAAATAAATAAATAACGTCATATTAATTTAAGCATACAGGAACGACACTGTTGTTCCAACAAAGATCTTTATACTTTTACGAGTGCCCTATAGGTAATAGGTAGATTGCTATGTAATTTGAGAAATGAAAAATTTTCTTGCCCTTAAACGAATCATCCTAGTTAATCTGCACTTTTTCTAAATAATCTACAGATGTGAATTTATTAATCTACAAGCCTGTAACCTGGCTGCTGAGAATCCTGTGTAGAATAGAAAGTATTTCTATATCATATCGGAGCACTTGTCGCCATTGTTTTTCATGTGAGAGAATAACGCATAAATTTTTATGGTGAGTCTAATTGATGGCAGCGGGTCTCTGACCTATGATCTGTCTTCACCGGAGACTGAGTATGTCAGCTGCTTGTTTGGGGCAAGCCAAAAGCAAATGATGATTAACTTTATAAAGATTAGCCCAGCAGACAGTTAACATTCACTTGCAGTTAAAATTCGTAATTAGAACCACGAGTGCCTACTTTCCATTTATTTTTACGACTATGCTTAAACAATACACCATCGTATATGGTCATTGTGCTTTTATAGTAAAGACATAAAGACGGAAGGTAACAATCAAAACATGATAAATCTTACACTTTATTTATGCCATGATTTTAATTTCCTTCAATCGATTTAAGTCTAGCGACACATTAGAAATCTTAAAATACCGAAAATTCTCAGTAATGGTATAATTACATGCATATTTAAATAAAATTTTCGATTGAAATTTCCTACAATATCAAACCTGATTACATATCGTCTTGTTAAGATACCCGATTGCTCTTTTAAATCAAATTTTGACCAAAATATATATTATTTCTGGTTTGATATAAAATAAAGCTTAGACCTTTACTCTTTCTAAAACCTTTTGAGTTTTTTTAACGTCAAATAGAACAGAAGTTATGATGATTTAAAAATCATTCATTTTGGTTATGACATAGATAGTTATGACTTTTTTGTTCTTTTCTTACAAAATTAATTTTTCGGCTGTTTTCTTTCATTTTAAATACAATATCTCAAAATATTTTAGTTTGAGTAAGTTGAAAATTTACATTAATATTTTTTAAGCATACATCGAGATGAATAGATTACCGACTAGTTGATTGAACTGTTATTTAATCTTTTTATAGCTGAAATAAAAATAACTAAATGCAATTTTCGGTATTTTCCAGCCAAAAAAGTTGCTGTGGAATATCTAAGCATCAATATAATGTCTAATACATTGTCTATTCTCCAAGTTGAATCTTTAAGAGTAATTTATAAAGCGATCAGTATAGTGAAAAAATAATAAATTTCAACAAAGCTATGTAATTTTGATAAGAGGTCGATTTTTGATGTTTTTTGACATGCTTTCTTCCCTTAATTCCTGTAAGAATTGTTTTCGTATTTCTTTTGTATTCCTACCATGGTTTAGTGGATAATTCACACATAAGTCAAAATATAAAATTTCTAAATTAAAAATTTTCAAATTTTACCTCTGAAGGTATTAAGGTAAATTATTTTAATAAAAGCAGAGCTATACACCGAAAGTTTTCACTAATCCGCACCGATTTTTGTGCCTCGTTATTGTTAATATTGAGTTTCCCCTCCAAATGAATCAACAATGGATGCTTTGATTGGACTGTTTTCGATTGGGTGCTCTGTTTCGGGAAACGAATTTTCAATTTTACTAACCAGTTTAAATCCTTTGTTTTATGTCAACTACGCCATATTCGGTTAAAATAAATTTCTTTTAGCATTTAAGCAGATTTTAATTTACGCAAGTAGTACATGTTCTAGAACTTTTTAAAGACGTTAAAATAGTTTTAGTAATATCATTAAATATTTTTTTAAAAATAAGAAGTGTTATCAAAAGAAATAAGAATATAATTTAGAGTAACACTTAAACCTACCGTTCACTATCATTTGCATTGTCGCGTTTGTGGAGGATGCGACATTAGAAGCGACGCAACTATAATGTCCTCTGTCTGCAGAAGTGATTCTTTTGAATGCCATAATGGATGAATCTTCGGTAGTCTGGATTGTGATGTCACCATGAGCGACAAAAGGCAGTCCATTTTTCAGCCAATGAAAACGTAGTGGTGGGTCCCCTTTAGACACTATGCAAACTAATTTTGTTCTCGCTTCTTCATCTACTGTGCTGCTCTCACGAAAAAAATGCTGGTCGATAACTGGTGATACTGAAATATAAGATTTTGAATTTTAAATTTTGTGTCTATACTCACCTTCAAAGCTGTCTTTCAAGCTTTACCAAGACTACGATATCATGTTTACATGATTTTTTTTGCTCTTGCCAAATAACGCTTTTAATCGCTGAATTCAACGACTGTTTCATAATCACTCACTCAAATACCACTTCAGCATAATGTAATGCAATGAGTGTAGAGCTGGTGGCCGAGCTTTAAGTACTTGATTAAGAATAAATGTTTAATGCAAGTTATACATTTTGTGAAATAAATTTTTAACTAATTCACCAAAAGTAGTTTTTTTGAACATTAATTAAATTTTAATGCATACTACAAAAAAAAAACTTTATGATATTACATCAAAAAAATTTAAACGTACTTATTATGTTATGCGTATATAAAAAAATATAAAATTTTCTTTTTTTTACAAAATGTACACTTTCTGTTCTTAAATTCAGATTGTGAATGAAAACTAGTAGTTTTTAAAAATGAATTTCAAATAAATGTATTTGACAAATGCTCTACAGGAATGAAACAATATAGCTACAATATAAATAAACCCAGTGTCAAAATCTGCCTACATTTGCCAAGTTTAAACAAGGGAATCGTGAAAAAACTGATAAAAATTAATGCCTTATTCAAAATATTTCTCATTGTATTTCTTTCTTAAAAAAATTAATCTATAATGCTACTGAAACAAGATAAAGTTTACTTTGAAATTAGGAAGGTATTTTATGGGATGGTATATTTATTTTTCCCCTCCAAAAGTACAGCCAGCAGGCATTACTTCTGGACTACTTAATAAAAAGTTGAAGTTAAATTTCTAACTAAACTAAAGAGAAATTAGACAAAGATGACTGACCTACAACAGAAACAGAAGTTGTTCCAGAGGCTGTTTCGCCATTTGCCCCTTGAACAGTACAACTGTATGAACCTTGATCAGCTGATCTCTGAANTTGAGCCATCTCAGCTAGATTTGGCATGTGACATTTTTAGCGGCAGTCATTGGTCGATTTTCTAGCGTTGCCATTCGGAGAGTTGTAATGAGGTTTTTTTTGTCGCCGTGTAAGAGAAATATATATATAGATATATTTTACAAATATTCTACGGGAAGAAAAACAATAAATAAACCTTGTTGCGAAATCTGCTTATATTTAGCGAGTTTCAACAGGGGAATCGTGAAAAAAAATGACAAAAATTCCTATCTCAAAATATTTTTATTGTATTTCTTTTTAAAAAAAATTTAATCTATTATGCTAATTAAAACTGAAACAAGATAAAGTTTATATTGAAACCAGGAAAGTCTCTTATGGGATGGTATATTTATTTTTTATCTCCAAAAGTACAACTAGCAGGTATTATATCTGTACTACTTCATAAAAAGTTGAAGTTAAATTTCTAACTAAACTAAAGAGAAACTAGACAAAGATGACTGACCTACAACGGAAACAGAAGTTGTTCCTGAAGCTGTTTCTCCATTTGCACCTTGAACAGTACAACTGTATGAACCTTGATCAGCTGATCTCTGAACATTTTGAATAGACAATGAACCGCCGTGTGTGACCTTTTGTCGATGGTTAAGAGGTAATAACATACCACCTGAAAAAGACCAAGATCATTAAAAATCAAACAACGAACCACATATCCAGGTCAAACCATAAGTTTATTGTTTCAATGTACAGGGTGTTCAAGTAATAGTACTCTTGACATGCAATTTTATAAATAGTAGCAATAATGATTATCAGAGAGATAAAGCATGGTATGTCATGGTAAATCCAAATAAAAATTAAAGTGCCTTTTCAATAAAACAAATTTACATCATAAGAGCTTTTTTTTAATATAAATATTTTAAGTATTTCATTTCGTAAAAGAGCAGAATTGTTTTTTTTTTCGAGCTTCAGCTCTTCCTGAAAATGGCAATCGAATCGACTTTTAATTAAGAATAAAAGTTTAAAATCGTGGCATACAATGAACATATTTGAAATTTATTTCACAAATTCACAACATAAAATCTAGAGTTTCAGGACGTAAATAATATTTTTAATGACTCAAACGTTTAAAATTGGTGAACGGAGAAAAAAAAACTGGTAAAATTACCGTAATGCATGGTAATGTTATTTCAGGTAAGAATAAAACAATGATTCTGGTATTAAAAACCAAACGATTCCGTGTTTAAGCAATTTATTTGGTAATTTCTCCGTTCGTATGGTAATGATTTACCGGGAATTCTGGGTTTCTAAATTATGGTTGTAATTACCACACATTTAGTAAAACTTACAAAACTGATAAGCAAATTTAACCAATTTCAACACATTTACCAAACTTTATCGCTCATTAAAAACCATATTTTATAGTTAATTTTATCAAAATCATTACCAGAGTGCTTCAGTAAAAATTATTGAGATTTTTGGTTTTATATAGAGCCAGAAACATAGCAAATTTTACCATTTTCTGGTAGTTTTCACCATACATTTTTTCTCAGTGTGCCACACACTTTGCACTCAAAGTTTATTCTAAGTTTCATTCAAAGTTTCATGTTACGAAGAATAAAAAGGGGAGGCAATAGAATGTCGTGAATTTTGATGAAAAAGTGATTAAATTTGTTATGATGATATCAATAAACACTTTGAACATTGATTTCATAAATTTGCAACACATAACATTGTATTTTAACTGTGCTCTTATTCAAATTGGCTTCATTACACATAGCTTTTGAGTTATAATTTTTTACAAAGATAGCAATAGGACTATTTGTCAATTTTAGAATAATTTATGAAAGAGTGTTACTAGTGTTTGTAAGAACATTTTAATACATTTTTATCAGACGTAAGTAAGTGCATCTATATCTGAACAAATTTTAGCGATGATAAAAAATATTAGATGTTAGAGTTAAAAATATATATAATCAGAAGTCAACGCTAAGGATTTCAAATTATTAGCCAGTAAATTATCCAAGTATCAAAACTAATGGCCAATTTTCGAAACTCGCCACCAAATGCAAATCCTTAAATTATTTTAATGATTTTTCCCAAAGAAACTATTTTGCGGTATTTTATTTCAGGCTTGTATTATTTAAACCCAATTCTAATTGGTAATGCGGAGCATCTAACGAAAATTACTGCAATTGAATAAAAAATACTGTTTTGTTTAGAAAAATTCATTTTGATGTAATTTTGAGAATCGAGTAAAATACATATTTTTCTTTCCAGTGGAAAAAATCGTTCGCAAATACTTTCACCAAAACACAATTTTATTCGCCATATTTACGATATAATCGTATTTAGTTATTCGGCGAATGCTTAGTGCTGGCTCTGATAATGTTTATAAATAATTTTAAGTGCATAATAGCTATAAAATATAATTTGAATATTTTTATTTATTTTCCCTAGGGAAAAATATATTTATCGAAAATTGTGCAAAACAAATATATAAGAAAAGGAGAATAGAAAATAAAGATTTATCCGAGTTTATTTATTTTTCAGTTTGCGTTTTAAGTTTTGATAAAGAAACGTTTAAAATAAAAAGTAAGTATAATTTAGATTTTTATAGCGCATGCCGTTTGTATATAGATACAAAACAAAAAATACTTATAATAAACGTAGAAATTCTGCTCCTAAATATGACTATCATGTCTCCTTAATTTCAAATTGTAAATCAATGTATGACAGTAGAATTCTTTAGATTTATTCATGATTTATAAAATATGGTTTCATACAAAGTTATATCCTTGAAAAAACATATATTTGATTAAGTGTCAGATAAAATAAAAACGTTTTGTCATTGTTGATTTCTGGAAAAAAGTGACTTCATTTATATTTGATTCATAAAATATCAGAAGTAAAACTATAACTGTTTCAATGACTGTTTACAAATACAAGAAGTATGCGCCAATTTTTATTATTTTGTGTATAAAGACAGATATTTCAAGGGAATAAATCAAAGTGTTTTACTACCTTTTAAAGCAATTTTTATGTTTTAAAATATTACACTATTTTATTTTATTTAAAAAATGTTTACTGTTTTGAATAATAATAAGCTAGCTTAAAAAAGTATATAAAATTTATATGTCTGACAAATAGAAAGGGGAAAAAATCTTAGAATATATTGCCGGAAAAAAGCTCTGTTATAATTTCTTTTTTAAACGCTATTCGCTTTCACTTCAACAACAATTCTTGAAAACAAAAATAAAATTTCATTCCAATAGTGTGCTTGTTTGCTTTTGATATTCTTCCTGGAAAAATATTTCTCTACCGAAACACAATAGAACTTTTGTTCCATTCACAGTTTACGAATGTTTTTAGTGTAGCCTGTTTTTGAACATATGGGTTCTTCTCAGTTTTGTTGTTTTTTCTTACTGTTTCAAAAAAAAATTTAGTTTTAGATTCATTCGAAAATTTTCTCTGCTTTTGCTTCTTTTGTTTTCGAATTTATCTTCAGAGCATATAAAGCTTTTTTTTAAATTTGATCTTGGCACTATTCCATATTTTTTGTACAGTTTTTATCATTCATATTCACACATTTTGATTTCTTTATTCTTTGAAGGGTTTCGAATCATTCTAATTGCATTTCTGAATCGCACAGTTTTCGAACGTTTCTAACAATTGTGTTTCTGAAAAGAACATTGTTTGAAAGTATTTTCGAAAGTTTTTTGTCAGGAATTATGATACAAAAGAATGTAACAGTTATGGTGAACTAGAAGATAATTGTTACTTTTAAAATACACTCTTAAGATGTTTTCGTAAAATTCAGAGTTGTCATGAGTTAGCGATTAATTTATATGGCAAGCACCCTTCTTTAACAAAAGGACCCAGTGTCTGCAATTCTAAAGGACTTCGGATAAATTAGTAGATTTGTTTGTTAATTTTTACGGCATAAAGATTCCTAATTCTATCTAAAGGCGAAATTTTTTTCACATGGGTTTCGAAGTGCTAAGCGTGGACACAGCGATCCTAGGTTCAAACCGACAATGAGCACGTACACAAACAAATCACCTGAATTTCAACTAGAACTTGGACAGAATTAAAGACATTTTTTTGAACTCAGTGTTAATTTGTGGTCCGTGGTCATATATTTTATGAAAAAAAGTTACTGGCAGACCGGAAGTTTTACAGCTATGATAGCTTGACGGCCGTGCATTTATTATTATGATCAGTGACTGTATTTAGAATCATTCGGAAACTTTTCCTGCCATTGTGCTTCTTTTGTTTTCTTCAAATTTATCTTCAAAATAACAAACGTTTTTTAAATTTGAGTATGGCATTTTTTTAAAGATGTTTTTTTTATATAATTTCTTTTGTCATTTGTAATCACACGTTTTGAGTTTTTTTTCTCTTTTAGGAGAATACGAATAATTTGAATATCATTTCTGATGCATGTAGGAGTGTACTTCATTTATGCCGCACTACTGATGTACAATGGGCTATTGGCGGCAGTCTAGGAAACATTCCTGAGGGTAATCCGAAGACATACCATCACAGTCTTGATCCTCTGCAAAGGGAATCTCATTCGTAAGGCCCACTTCCTTAATTTAGAAATAGATTTTATTTTTTAACCGTTGTTGAACAGACGACCCAATTTTTGGGATTAAGACTGCTAATGTTCACCTTCGTAGAAATGTAATTTTGAATCCAATCAAGGAGACAAGGGAACTTCAGGATCAAGTAATGGGTGGGACTCTCGTGGAGGACTTTTTGAGAAAACTAACTCGCATTTGCTTTACACGGATAAGAAAACCACGAAAACCTTCCACGGTTAGCCTGTTGGCAAGGGGACTCTAACCCATGATCCGTGTACCATAAAGGATGTCTTACGTCAGCACTGTGGTCGGTACGAGCCGGGTGCGAAATTCGTATCAACTAACCATAGCTGGGATTCGAACCCGGTTCAGCTCAGGGGGGGGGGCGAGCGCTTTATATCCTAAGGCACCACGGCTCTCAGATATAGATTTCTGTATTGCTGAATCTTTCAATTTTTGCAATATAGGAATAGATTTTTGTCTTTCTGTATCTTTCAGTTTCGGAATATTTTCTACAATTGCTTTAAAGAAAACAACATGGTCATTTTTCGAATATTTTTCGCCAAGAAAAAAAAATCCGCTGTGGGAGTGCTTCAACTCGCTGCACGGTTTCAGTTTTAAACTATATCAATCATATCTTAATAAAAAGAGCATAATAGGTTATAAAAAGGACAAATAAATTAGATATTGAAAAAAAGTTATTAATCTTTTTCGAACAAGATTTCTCCTCTGATCTGAAAATTATTAAAATCAACGAACAATTCATAACCTTGGCAAACTTTTCCAAAAAAAAGTAAAGGAGTAATTTTTAAGATAATTAAAACATTCTTTTATTGAAGCTTGTCATTTTCAGGTAGTTCTGTTTTGTTTGTTTTACATTCGCAATAAAAATTTGCACCATTTTTATAACCATCGTTGAACAGCTGACCCATTTTTGGGCTTACGACTATTAATGTTCAACTCCGTAGACTTGTAATTTTGAACCCAATCCAGAAGACAAGGAAATTCTCGGATTAAGTATTGAGAGTAATTTGCTTTCATGGGGGACTTTTTGATGAAACTAACCCACATTTGCATTACATGGAGAGGAAAACCATTGTAAACTTCCCACTGTTAATCTGACTGCAAGGGGAATTTAACTCATGATCCGTCTACTACGGAGGATATTTTGCAACAGCACTGTGGTCGGTGCGAGCCGGGTGCGGAATTCGTATCTACCAGTCAAATCCCAGCTTGGCCGATTGAATTGCATTCCTAATTTTCTTTTCTAAAATAGTTCATAAAAAATTTATATGTTTTATTCAATTTATAAAGTATTAATTTTTAATTTAAGTTATGTTTTTAATTAAATTTTTATGGACAAATCAAATTAATAGATACTTATTTTTTTTAGTTTTTAATTATATATGGAATATTTGAAAATGAAATATATCGTTAAAAATTTCAATTAAATTAATTTAATTTTCCTCATTTTTGGGGGGAATAATACGCGTGGAAGAAAACGCTGCATTGTTGAAAAACGTGCGATAAGATATTTAAAAGAAATTCGAAACTATAGTTTAACATTCATTCGAAAAAAATCACCCTTTATTTGGTTATACTGGTTCTGATTAGGAATCCAATTTAATTGGTTATACTGGTTCTGATTAGGTGATGTTTTCGTAAATTTTTTTTTATTTTAATAAGATTATTATTTTTTTTTTTTGTTTCTCTCTGGCCTCTGCCCGAAAGTTTCCAAGACTTGGCGATTATTCTGCCACAGACCACGATACCGAAATCTTCTCCCCAAAAAATTATATAAAATGATTAGCACTTACTTTTGAACCACCTGATACTTTTTATTGGGTAACCTCCATAAGGGCAACGTATAAGCAACTCTTCACCTGCTATGGCAGTAATATTTGGCAGAGCTCTGACGAAAGTTAGTCCATAGACATTTAGTCTCGAAGAATGGAAGGTACTGCCAACGTCGTTGCTCACTTGGCATTTGTATTCCCCTCCATCCTCTACCCTCGTATCACTTATGTTAAGAAAACTGACCACGTTGGCGTGTTCTGTGATGTGATCGCCAAATGTGACACGTCCTGTTCTCGAAACTGCCCCTCCATCCACGTACCATGTAACCTTAGGAGGAGGATTGCCAGTGGTCACACATTTCAACGATATTGGCGAGCCAGGATGGACAGATTGTTCTGGAAACATCGACACTAGTGTGGGTGGGACATCTGAAAATAGAATTATTAAGTGCTTATTAAAAATACTTCTGAATAATGATCATTTATATTTATCATGTCTAATTAACAAATAACGTTACTTCTACTAATTAGACATATTTCAATAAATTAATTAAATATGCATTGCTTACAAAAATTTGATTGACTAGGCTTGTTCAATTATTTGAATAGTAAATAAACTTATGCTAAAAATTTAAAACAAAATTACAGATATGGAGAAAAGCTATTCAGACATTTAATTTTTTGGAGAAATCCACGTTACATGCTGTACACTCATACTTTATACATTTTTGTGTAGTTTAAGGATTGTTTCTGAGAGTTATAAATAATATTTTTTTCTTCTGTCATTGAAACAAAGATACTGGAATAGACGAATATGTTTTGCAATATATTATTATGCGATTAACGTTCAAACAATCACTCAATCTATATGGAATCATTTTCTAAAGTCCCTATTTAACGAATCAAAATTAAAATGCACTTTGAAAGCTTTGTCTGTCTTCCAGAAACAGAATTTATGCTTTAATTCATTCATAAAATCAATAAACAGAATAAGCAAATGATTGTATTATTTTATTATTGACTGATTTGTTTTGGTGCTTGTATTGTTGGCATCTTAGTATAAAGTTTGAAGGGTTGTTTATGTAATGTTTGGGACCAAATGGATTTGGATCCTTTCCCACTTCAAAATCACTATGGGGTTGTTATTTATATCCTACATCTACTGAAATCTTCGAATTGAAAGAATCAAAAAAAAAATGAATGCTATGTAGTTAAGTAAGATTCAAAAATAAAGAAACAAATTTCCCTGATAAATCTTCATATTTATTTTCCTACGATATTTAATTTTTAGAAAAAAAAAACAACTAGAGGAATTAACTATATTTCAGACAAGAATTATTTTCTAAGTACAACTCCAACATAGATATTTAAATGAAAAGATTTGCATTTCCATTTTATGAATTCCAAGCTAAAAAATGCTACTGACCTATAATCTATTTTTATTCTTCCTCTAACGTTCTCCGGATATATTGTTATCGATGATTTTAAGAAAACCTATTCAGGTTTGATTTTTGTCCAAAACAGATGTTTAATATAAATGCAGTAACGGGGGACTAGTGAATTTTATTCAATGCATACCCTGTTAATCTTACACTCAACATATAGAGATAAACAAGAATTCCTTACTTACTAGTAAAGGATTTACGATTTAATATGAACTCCGCTTATTTTAGATCAAACCTTTGGTTTCGGTTTATATATATATGTATATATATATATATATATGTGTGTGTGTTTGTGTNGATCTAGTTCCAAAGTAAGTTTATTAACTAATTTAATTTATTTTAGATTTTATTTATTATAAATCTAAGTGTGAACTTAAAAAATATTAGTGTTTATTCATGGGAACTGACAAAAGATGTTTTTTATATTTTTCTCATATTTATCTTTATACATAGCTGCCAACTACTACTGGTTTTTTCATTAGACTACTGGATTTTGCCAGTTTCTCCTGGTTTACTGGTTTAATTAAAATTCTTCTAGTTTTTGTACAGATTAGTTAGTTTCCTAAAAAAATTCCTATTGAAATAGAATTTTTGTGCAGATTATTGCTTGAATATTTAAATAAGTGTTACTAATACACGATGAAGCGAGCCTCATTTATAAGAATCAGTCAAACTTTTTTTTGTTCTAAAATGTTACGTTTACTTCTAATCAGAATTCCCTTTTTAAATTAAGAAATCTTTTTGATTAATTTTGAATTAAAGGCCTATTACTGCTCAAAATTTTGAGTAAGCATCATACATAACATTTCGAGATCATTTAATGTTAATCATAACTGTAAAATATTGCAGTTTTTCTATTTTGATGACTATAAAAGTCCCTAAAATTCCCTATGTGTAAAATATTTCGTACATTTTGAGATATTTTTTATGTTATTTCGTTAAATCTACTGGATTTTTTCCTCTCTATGTTTGCAGCTATGTTTATACTATAAATTTTTTCTTTCAATTTTACTTTCAAAGTTTTTACAATTTTAAAATGCAAGATACACATAATTTTAAAGTATGACATCAGTGTTTTTAAATTTTTGACTTTTATTTCTGGATTTTAAATCAATGGAATTTTTTATATGATTAAAATTCAGATTTATACTTTTCCTTGCTAGATTAGGCTTATAAACTATTTATAATTTAATTTTAAATTTTAGTTACTGATTCTCTATTTCTATTCAGTCTAGGTTCTAGTTTTAATGATAGTATTGCTGCTTTGCACACAAACAAGCAAAGATTCACTGGACAAACCATCAATGTGTGGAATGATTCTGCTGATGACAGTAGAAATTATTCGCTGGATGAATCATTAAATACAACTTCCAATGTGGATGAGGAATCGAATGTGAATTCTGCTGGGATAAAGCTAACGAAATCAGGATACTACACATTACCTTCAATGGAGGAAATATCATCATTGTTTGATGAAAATAAAAGGTGTTTCGTAAATAACTTCACGGTTGGCAGAAAAGGATATGGAAAAGTGATGTTTCCTGGTGTTACAAATGTTGCTGATTTAAACCTGGATGAAATAGGTAAGTTTGTATGTTTTTATATATATATATATTTATTAATTATTTCGTAACCATATATTATAGCATGAATTTTTTATGACGTTGACATTTCTGTTGCGATTAGTCATTAATATCATTGTAGCATTTTTTGGAATAGACAAGAATTCAAACTAAAATATCTTTGAAATAAATGCGTTTTTATTTATGCAATTAAGAAAAAAATAGTTCTCCCTTAATCCAAATATACAATTACCAAATTAAACAATTTACAATACTATAATGGTAGTTTTTATACAAAAAAATGATATATGCAGTAAGTAAAGCGTATGTTCTACCTGAAATTTTCAGCTCCACTGTGCCCTGAGCACTGTCGTTATCATTGTAAGCAAAACACTGATACATTCCTCTGTCATCCCGACGGAGAGAAGTAATCAGCAAGACTTCTCTTGATACCAGCTGTATTCTATTCGTTGGAACTATAATTTTCTGGTCTTTCATCCAAGCTATTGTATGCACTGGGTATCCAGAGACATTGCAGGTAAACGTTGCTTCCTGACCAGTATTTAATAAAGCGTTTGGAAGCAGCAATGATACTTGTAAAGGTGCTGAAAAGTACATATTATGTCACTTAATAACTCATAAGCAAAAATAAATGTTATGTCACTCAAAACTTATAACAAAAATAATTAATATGTCACTTTATGAAAAATAAGCAAAGAAAAATATATTATGTCACTCAATGACTCATAAAGAAAAAAATATTATATCACTCAATACTCATAATAAAAAATGAATATTTTGTCACTGAATAACTCATAAGCAAAAATAAATATAAAGTCACTCAATGACTCATTAACAAAAATTAATAAAGCTCTTCTACAAGATTCAAGAAAATTACTTTTTATTCAGAAGCCGTCCATAAATTGATGTCACTCATTTTTTCCACACTTTTGACCCTCTGTCACAAAGCGTCACTTTCTCATAACACTACCCCTCCTTTACGCTATATTAAGTAAACATATCTCAGTAGTTCTGTAACAAAACCCATGTCATAAATCACATTCTAAAGTTTTATTTTAATTTATTTTTAACTATGTATTATGATATTTGTATTTGTATATTCGCTTCGCAAAAAACATCTTTCCAGTTCACATTTTGAGAAATATTTAGTGTCCTGAATTTTGTATGACAGAAATGTATATTTTACAGTATGAATTTTGTATGAATCTTAATAAAATTCTCTCAAAAAAGTAAGAATCTTCTTAAAATTTTCCACAACGTGAAAACATATTGCTCTAGTGAGCAACAACGAATGCTACCGTTGTTTAAGAAATTAAAAAAAAAAAATTTTTTTTAGACTATTTAGACTATTTTGCTGAGTTTTATGACCAAAAAATTTACATTTGATGCTTTGCGTGTTTGAAGAAACTTTTAATTTTCTTTAAAGAAAAGAAACTCTAATTTTTGACGGTTCAACAATCTTTAGCCTGTATCACTGTATTTGACGATCATTTTGTCACGAAATGACGTGATTTTTGTCGAAAAGCAAACGATCACTAGGCAAGCATATTTTCTGGGTTCTATTTCCGTTCTGACTTAGAACTTATTCCCTCATACTCTTTTCATTTTACGTTGCTCTTCAAAATCAATATACAGAATAAAAATTAATACTATGGTGGTTCTAAAAATCATGAGCTGTCATGAGCTTCAGGAAATGACACGCCTTCAGACAAAACAAAAATAATCATTAGGCAAGCAGAATTTCTAGTGACTGCGTACTTATATCCAGTAACTGCGTACTTATTCAACCATAATCCTTTTTTTAATATTCTTCTGCCTAATCAATGTATGGAATTAAATTTAATACTACGGTGGTTCAACAAACCATGGGCAGTATTTCATTATATTTCACTGTAATTTGTCACAAAACTACATACTTTTTGACAAAACACAAACACTTACTGGGCAAGCAGATTTTCTAGATTTTATTTCCAGCTGGGACTGAGTATTCATTAAGCCATACACTTTTTATTTCATGTTGTTCTGCCTAATTATTATACAGAATTAAATCTAATACTATGGTAATTCATTAAACCTAGGGTTGTAGTTCCTTAGATATGACTATCATTTGTCATGAAATCACATGATTTCTGACAAAACATGAACAATCATAAGGTAAGCAGATTTTTTAGGTTCTATTTCCAGTGACTACTTACTTATTCAGTCATAATTCTTTTTGTTTTATATTATTCTGCCCCAATTAATGTACAAATTTAGCCTAATATTAAGGTGACTCAACAACCCTTGGGCTATATTTCTTAGATTTGACGATCATTTTGTCATAAAATCATTTGATTTTGATAGCTGTTATTGAGTACTCATTCAATCATAATCTTTTTTTTTAGTTTATGTTGCAAGGCCTGATCAATATGTAGTATCAAGCCTTATAATATGGACGAAATTCGTATACTTGAGAAAGTTAAATAAAAAGTTTTCTCTATTTGACAGGAGTGTCATGAAATATGCATAACATATTTCCTAACATTTTAAAAACGAAATTATTTTCCTATTTAATCTTTTTTCAATAAATAAAAATCATTAATATAATCTGCAATCTTTTTATAGCACAATCTAGAATTGAGTGCAGAATAAAATCTATTTTTAGATATTCCCCCTACATTTGCCTAACACATTACCATAGAACCCAAAAATCGTTATATAGTCAAAAATGTCTTGATTTCATTAAAATTCGCAATTATTCGCACGCTTTCATTTCCGCCTACACATTTCAATGCGTAAGGCTAAGAAAAGAAGCCTTGGCATTAAATTGAATCAATTAACAGCCAATACAGGGATTTCTCAACTTTCCTTCGCGAAAACTACGCTAACGTACACATGACAATCGCATTTTTGATTTCCTGGTGAATGGAAGTGACCCGTATGGCCTAGCACTGTAGCCACACCCTCCATACCATTTTCTAAATTTATTAATCTCTATGAATATAAATAAATGAATTTATGAAATAAATGAATTTTTTACTTGAAGCTTCATATGATTCCATATTTTTGAAATAAAATATTTTTATTATTTATCGAATTCAATTTTTCATTAAAGCAGTTCCTATTTTTTAATATCTACACTCTTTGGAACAATGTATGGACAACTGAAAATACATCAATCAAATTCTTCTTCAACGAATGGTTAATACATCAATCAACATTTTCAATGAATGGTAAATTCATCTTCTTCGAACCAAAATTATTCCTGGATAGGGAGGTTTACTCGGAGAATTTCTCAGAAAAATGCTTCATCAGAGACAAATTTTGAGTATCCATTTCTTACAGTGCACAAAAAAATGATTTGTGATAAATTGATATATTTATAAACGTTGCAAAGTATACAGTTCATGAATTTTCGCCAGGAAGTATCTATGTAATGGAAGTAAAGTAGATATATTTTTAGTGTCATGTAGTTGGATAAAGAGTAAGTAGAGAGATACCTGAGATAATGAGTGATGTTTCTATCCTCCTCTCGCCAATACTGTTTCGGACGATGCACTGATATTTACCAGCGTCTGTTCGTAACACTTTCCGGAAATTGAGCGTTCCCTTCACCAGCCACACTCGTCCGTCTTCTTTGACGGGACTTAAGACACCGGAAATTTCCTTCATCCATCTGAAAATTAATAAAATCCAGACCGAAGAATAAATAAAATGAATCCCAAGCTTTTTTTTCTGTCTATAACTACACAGAATGTATTATACTATGATTAATTTTGAAGAATAAAATTCTAAATTATAATCAAATTGTTCCGAGTCTCATAATTAATTGAAGATAGCGGAAATTTCCTTCATCCATCTGAAAATTAATAAAATCCAGACCGAAGAATAAATAAAATGAATCCCAAGCTTTTTTTTGTCTATAACTGCACAGAATATATTATATTATGATTAATTTTGAAGAATAAAATTCTAAATTATAATCAATTTGTTCCGAGTCTCATAATTAATTGAAGATGCCGGAAATTTCCTTCATCCATCTGAAAATTAATAAAATCCAGACCGAAGAATAAATAAAATGAATCCCCAGCTTTTTTTTGTGCTATAACTACACAGAATGTATTATACTATGATTATTTTTGAAGAATAAAATTCCAAATTATATTCAATTTGTTCCGAGTCTCATAACTAATCGAAAAAGAAGAAAGATTTCAGAATAGTGAAACAGGTATTATCAAACTCCGTCATGAATTGATGGAAAGTAGTAATTTGTTAACTTTTTTTTAAAAATTTCCAATGACAGAGAGCTTGATAAAATGTAACAAGTAAACAAAAACCAAAAAACAAGGAATAATATAAAAATAAATAAAAAAAGAAATCATCGTCTAATTCGGCTAGTACTGTTGACTAGTACTGTCGGCTAGAGCTGCCAGCTAGTAAAATTAAAAATTCACAAATGAATATGGTCCCCACACAACCCCTGAAACACTTAAAACCCCGAAGGAAAAATAATGAATCTGGGGTTTGCATAATTTATAGGCATGACTTCAGGATTGTTTATTTTTAGTTTTGTTGCGCAAACCGTGCACGCAAATTTAAAAATCGTGCACGCACAGTAACTCTTTATTAGAACTAATTCACGTGTTTCGAACATTGTTTTGTGCATTTTTTTATCAACAATGTATCAACTCCTGAGTTAAAAGTCGACTTGTGCCTGTTTTATTTTAGCTTCCTGCCCTTCCATCATCAAGAAACAAAAGCATTTGATAGACTTTTTCATACAACAAAAAAAATTTAACAGAAGAAAAAGTGAAAAAAAACTGCTAATAATAGATAATATAAGATATTAAAATTTATCATTTGCTTTTAAAAAAAATTGTGATGTGAAGAGTTATGATGTGATATTTAAGTAACAAAGGTTGCATTCATTTTGCTGCGTTTTAAGTGATAAAATTCATTTATTATTAAACAAAAACTTAAGAAATTTATTCTATTTCCTGAAAATATATATAAATATATATATTGTTACAGTAGTAATATGAATAGACATATTCACATTACTATCCCTTATCCAATCTTGAGATTTTATTTACTCTTATTAGGATAAAAAGAAATTTTTAAAAAAAAATTAGCACATTTTGTTTAACTTTGAAATATAAGTCTCTCGAAACAGGAGCCAAACAATTCATTTTGAAGATCTTTTTCAATCTTTTCTACTTTCTTTACTTCAAATAATAAGTTGAAACGGAAAAATGAAACAAAATCAGATCGTAAAAATGATAAATGATACATTTTGTGACAAATAAACTAAAGAACATCGTTCTTCTTTCTTAGAAAAAAAATTTTTTACACCTTGAAAGAAACTTTCAAAAAATAAAGTAAAGTGAAAATATCGATGTGTTAAGAGCACTAAAAGCGCTCCTTTTATGCATCTCACAGTTCTTTTTAACAGCAAAATAAATAGAAATGAATAAAAGTCACGATTTTTGTTTTGTTTCTGTCAGATTGCAAGAATTCTTAGAGATCAAATTTGTTTAAAAGGGAAATTCAAAATACCGAAAGACGATGTCAAAAGGACGATAGATAAGATGTATTGCTCTAAAAATAATTAAATAAAAAGAACTATTTCTGGAAGTTAAAAAATGCTTTTATGTCTTTGTTCTTTTTATTTTTTTATTTGCTTGAAATGCACCTGCATTTCCTGGTGACATTTTAGAGTGAAAACTATTCCTTGGCAGTAAATAAATTTTTTGAATCTTATTTATTCTTTATGTGATTAATTAAATATTTTAAGTGAGAACTATTTCTGGATAATAAGCAAAAACAGTTGTGGTAAAAGTTAGTTATTTAAAATTGCTTTTTCTTTCTCAAGTATTTTTTCGATATCTTATTTGAGTCATTTTTATTCATGTGTCACATTTTAGAATAAAACGTGATTCCGTAATGGAATAAATGTTTTTTTCCCTTAAGCTACATTATTTATTATGTAATTAGTTTTGATAATTATTATTATTGGTTATTTTACTTAATTATTAGTTTTAACTTAATTATTTAACAATACTTAATTAGTTTACGGTACGCAGTAATGACTTTATTAAATGATAATGCCCAAACGTTCTAGAAAAGTAAAAGAACAAAAAAATTAAAATGGGGAATGTAGTTTTAGTATGATAGGTAAATGTTCGGATTAAATGGGTTGATCCTAAATGTATTGGAAAAGGAATGTTGAATTTGTTAATATCCTCATTTATTTCAACATGAGGTGAATGAAACATGAAGTGTAAGCTCTAACTCACATTGAAGTTATTTGGTGTTGCTTCAGGAAAATTTAGAAATCATTCTAAAACAACAATTAAAGAAGGAGAGATTTTCAGAGAGTCAGTTGTTTGAAACTCGTAGCAAATGAAAATTGAATACACTTTTTATTGATCTTAATGCATAAAGGAAACACTCTTAAAGCTATAAAGATTATTACTATCATATAGCTCATACTCTTAGAAAATGCGATTGATAAAATACCGCACTCTTATCTTTAGCATAAGGCAATGGAAACTTTTTAGTAAAACAAAAGCAGTGATACTAATTTTTAAAGTGCAATTACAAAGTGCTACTTAAAAAGTGCAATTAATAAAATATCATACCCTTATCTTAAGCAAACGATAATGAAAATTATTTTTAAAAAATGATTCTTATCTAGAAAGTGCAATTAATAAATAATCCCACTAGTACTTAAGCAAACGACAATTAAAAATTAAAAAAAATTATACTTACTTAGAGAGGGCCACTTAGAAAGTGTAATTATTAAAATATCACCCTCTTATCTTAAGCAAAAGACAATGGAAACTTTTTTTAAAAAATGAGACTTATTTAGAAGTGTCACTTAGAAAGTGAAATTAATAAATTATAATATTCTTATCTTGATAAAAAAAACAATGGAAACTTTAAAAAGAAACCAATTTATTTGTGCACAATGCTTAATTTAATAAAATTAGATAACGTTTTAAGAAGGTTAAATAAAAAATATTTTTTTAATTCTATTCTATGCAATTTTTTATAACTCAAATATTCGATTTTTCAGATTTGTCTTTCTCTTCTTTTAAGTTCGATATATGCAGGTTTCAATGTATATTCACAACGGAAATGAGATTTATTTGGCTGAAAAAATTAAGTAAAAATATCTTCATCGAAAAGCAAATTGCTTTTATCTAACTTTTATTTTATATTTTATTTGAATTACCTTCATTCAATTGTGAATTTATTATTCATTATAGTGATTTTAAAAAAAAGACTATATTTCCGCAATGTCAAATAATGTTTCATATTGTTTATTTTTTATCTAACTTATTTTACTCACTAGTAACTATTACTGGAATTTTTAGTTGAGAACTACTTCAGGCAGAGAGCCAAGGTTTTCTAGTTTTAAAGCTAACTGTATGAAGAAAACTATTTTATATTTGAGATAATAGTAATTTTAAATATTGAGGAAAATTTGAATTAGCTTTTATCTAAAATATATTTCGATAATTTACTTGAGCCAAGGTGATATTCATGGGTGACATTTTAAAATGAAAATTAATTCTAGATGAGAAATAAGATTTATATCTTACATTTATAAAGAGGGGATTAATTCTGGAAAGTTAAAAGATGTTTTTATTTGCTTTCAACAATATTTACTTGAGTCTTTTAATATCAGCAGTCATTATTGAAATTTTTACATGAGAATTCCTTCTGATTTCAATATTTTTTTAAATTCTTCTATACTCACTAATGAAAATTCTAAAGCAGAACTGTTTACAAATGTGGAAAATAAATTTTTTATTGCTTAGTCTTTTTAAAAAGCAGTCAATAATAACTTGATGCTATTATAGGCATTCTATATTTCCTAGCTTTTGAAATTTCTTTAATTTCATAAAATTTTTTAATTTCATATTATTTTTTTAATTATTTTTAATTTTATTATAATTACATTAAAGCAATTATATAATTTTTATCGTATTTCATACTAAACGAATACAGATGCTTTTATTATTTTCTTAATTGCTAACATATTAATCAGTTCAACACTCATTAATTCATTGTCACGACTATTCGAATATCAAAATCTATTTTTAACTTTATTATTCTATAAGCTGATGAATTTTTCCAACCACAAAAATGTTTCGGTCACAAGGTCATATTAAATTCTACCTATCTTTTTGGTGATTAACCTGTAGCCAGATTATTTAAAATTTATTATTGTTAATGCCGGTTTGACTTTATTTTTGGCTGTATCTATCGATAACTTGCCAACTTTGGATACTTTTCTATGATCCTAAGAATCACTTAGGAACTATTCATACACTGTTTATTTAAAATTCTTGGCGTTCAGACAGGGTGGTCGGATGCCCAATGGCTTCTTAGTCAGACCGTTAAAAATTGCAAAAAAATGTCGTATAAAAAAGGATTTCTTCATCTCCGTAAAGGGAGATGCCACTTATTATTTTGTTTTGTTGATATGGCCATATTTGTTCCCTTAAGAAATGCTCTCTAAATAAAGCATGTTTGTTTGCCATATTTCTGCAGCTATCCATCTTTCACTACAAATGAAAATGTACTAGGATTCACCACTATTGCTTTTTTTTTAATATTTTTTTTTTTCATTTTCTATAACTAATGAAAAATAGACGAACTTGTAAAGAAAGAGACTTAACAAGACTTCTATTATTATTATTATTATCTATATTTATTTGTGCTCGTTAATAACGTTTCTAAATGAGAACTGTTTATTAAAATTGAAAACTAATTTTTATTTTTCTAGTTACGGAAATTGAAAACTACTTAATCTCTAACAGATGCACTCTTTGGACGAGAGTATACAAACAACCAGTATCATGATGTAAGGGTGTTTTTCAAAGTTTGATCTGAGTTCCGTTGATTCCTGTAGTAGGAAACATGGCCTCTAAGATATATGTGACCATTCTGGATACTGCTGCTCACTCAGTTTTATACCAATATTTCGGGAAAGACAAAATTTTCTTCCAGCCAGATAACTTCTCCATCCTCACATAGAACTTCCATGCACATTCGCCATCCTTCGCACATTCGGACACCATTATGGCGAAATTGGTATTGCTGGCCTTCGCAGAGCTTTGAATCAAAGCCTGTAGAAGATTTCTGGGACGAATTAGAACAATAAAAAATACGTAACTAGCTAAATCAAACACCCTCACTACTAGAACTCACTTCAGTTTTAATATGTTTGTGGCATACAATTCCTATGGCCACGTGTGATGCCACAATAGGTATTATGGATTTTCCTAACTTTTATAATTTCCTTAATTTCATTTTTTTCAATCATTTTTAATCGAACTTTAATTCAATTAATCCAATTATTTCATTTTTATTACCTTTTCTTAAAAGCGAATACAAATATTGCATTCTTTTCTCGACAATCAGAGTAATGGCTAACTTTTTATTTTAATACAAATATGAAACTCATTAATTCACTGTCGTGACTAGATCAAAAACAGAATCTATTTATAAATCTTTATTCTTTATTTCTTACCACAGACATATACATGATAATAATATTCTCGCAGTTTTTTGGCGATTAGCTCTCGCCAAATTATTTTCAAATTTAATATTGATTTAGGGGTTTGGCTTAATTTTTTGCTGTGTTATCTTTCGATAAATCGCCAACCATAGATCTCTTCCCATGTTTCTAACTGCCCGTTGGGATGATAAGATGGAGGGCATGCAAAAGGGGTACCAAAATCGTAGTACTGGATGCTTCAGGACTCACCGAGTCTGTACCACTGAGACCGGACCGGATTCTCCGGATACTTTTGTCTAGTTTTGCATATTATGTAATGAAGAAATTAATTACATTAAAATAGGTACTTAGGGATTATGCCGTCGAACTGTACATGGGGATTTTTCTGATTGGGGCGACCTGCAATGCTCTCGAAAATGTGCAAATCCCTTGAGGCCATCATAATGAAATGCAATTTCCAAAACAAACACATTAAATTTATCAAATCATGATAATAAAATAATAATAACAAAAAACGTAAGTGTAGAAGATCATAATAAAAAGAATCAAAACGAAATAAAACTTTTAATAATTACACAATGAATTATTCTTGAATCCAACCATATATATTGAATCATTTCGGCATCCGAAAATCCTTGAGAGCTTTTAAAGCGCAAACAAAAAAAGTCATTATACTCGTGCAGTCACCGTTTTGATAGGCTATTGAAAACTAACTCGAGTAGTCAAGGATTACACAGAAAAAATAAGATAAAATTTGTGGTTATTGGAGCAGGAGCTATCTTTTAACGATAATATCAAGTTTGGCCAAAATGGTCAAAATGGCCAAAATCCCAAAATACGAAAATGGTTAACGGGATAATCCGAAAGTACGAAAATGGTTGACGGGATAATCCCAAAGTACGAAAATGGTCGACGGGATAATCCCAAAGTACCAAAAAAATATTTAAATTTTAATATGTAAGTCATGGGCAAACCTGTAAAGAGGAGGTGGATTTCCTTGAGCGACGCAAGGTAATTGCGCTGGTGATCCTTCAGCCGTCCTTACCTGCAAGCGGCTGAATGTAACACGGGGCAAAGTGGAGGCATGAGGCTCTGAGGTAGAATATGAAAATAAAAAAGTTATTTGAAGTAAAATGAATTTTTAATCAAATTTACAAATTGATTTACAAAGTTACATGAATTCCTATAATATCAAGAGTTGACCGGCAAAACAAGAAATGATTAAACAATTCACACATAGCCTAAGCATTATACAACACCGAATGGCAAAGTAAAAAATATTAATATTTTAACAGTATTACCCAGAGTTATTACGATTTATTAGTATTATTTGAGAGAAATTTCTGGGTGAAACAAGTAGTTTCACATTCTGTTTTTCTTTAATAAAAAAGTATGGACTTTTGATATTGTTCATTGTTGCCGGCGCATTCTTATTGGCTAGAAAATAGACATTAAAACTGGACAAGCAAGCATGACTAATATAATCGAGTTTTGAATAGTCGTTAATAAATGGAGCTAGAAATGCATTTATTATCAGATTTTCTGTGAAATTGAGCTGAAATATAAAGTCTTTGTAAATTGGTGACGCTAAATACCATTACGATCACTAGATGTCACCCTAAGCGAATTTTTCCTCTGGGGACATTTTGTAAGAACGCGTGTACCTAGGTTCAACGACTGTGAAAGATTTGAAACCTTGTTTAACATCTGCTATCACCGGCATTGATAGTGATTTCATGCACAAAGATTGACAAGAATTATTTAGATTACAGACGTCAGATATATGTCGTGTAACACACGAAGCGAATGTAGAATATTTGTGAGGGATACATTCGAAACTTGCTTAGATAACCTCTGCGCAGAAAAAAAAAATCTTTTGAAATTTACGTTCTAGGATTTAATCTTAATGGTTCGAGAGGGTGACTTCAAATATGCTAATTAATTGGAGTAGACAATATTTTAAGTTACGAAATCAGACGCAACAGCGCACTTTCTCTGAATAATTTCTGACTCCCAAAATATAGCGGGTCGCAGGCAATCTGGAAAATATGTTCCCCATAGTTTGATCAGGAGAGCAGTCCTACGTTTCGACCTTCTAATGTAAACTTTATTTATTGCCATTTCACCACATACCGAGAGCATTTGAAACCAATTTAAAATTTTTTTGAAAATAATTATAAAATTCGTTTATTCCCCGAAACAAATTATAAAACAAATTTAAGTAAATTTTTATTAGTTTATTTATCAATAGTCGAAAATATTTTGCATTGTTAGGCATACTTTTTCTACATATATAATTTTAAAGTGCGTAATTTTACATGGTAAAATACATAATTTCAATGAAATAAGTTGAATAGTTCTTGAGAAATCTAATCTAAAACAAAATCTTACAATTAAAATTCGATTTCATAGGAAGTATTCGACCAATTTATTCTAATTTTGTATTTTGCCATGTGAAATTGCTTACTTTAAGATGAAGTAAAAAGTTTTAAACTTTACAACTCAGAACGACTTTTACAATTTTTGACTCTTATTAAAGAAAATAATTAAAAATAATAAACATTTACTAAAATTTATATTTTGCATAGAATTCTGTTTGCATAAAGGAATTTTATAATTGTGTGCAAAATCTTTTCAATTCATTTTAAAAGTTCTCGAGTTATGGAGAAATACGTAAAAATAAAATTAAAATTTTGAGGTCCAAACTTTGGATCGCTCTCCTGACCAAACTATGGGACCATATTTCTCAGACCATATCCCCTATATTTTGGGGGTCAGAATTCCGAATCCATTGAAAAAAAAATTTATGTTTATTCAGAGAAGGTACGTTTTTGTGTCTTATTTCGTAACTTAAAATATCGTGTGCGCTAATTAATTAGCATACTTGAGGTCACTCCCTTGAGCCTTAAAGATTGAGTGCTAGAACGTGAAGATCCGATCATTATATCAAACGTTATTCTGGATGGTCCGTTTTTTTGGAGCTCTGAACATACACTTTTAATAAATATATTTAATAAATATTGCTTATAATCCAAGAATTATAATCATCCTTGAAATTGAGGCATTCATTTTCCCTTACCCTGCATATTTCAAGAAAATCGATCGAAAAACGTATTAAAAAGTAAACATTTAAAACTCTTATTATGCGTGAGTTTAATTTTAAAATAATATTTACAAACGTTTGCTAAGTTAAAATGAGATTCTGAGTTCGAAAAGGTCGCATATATTTAAAACAATAAGCACACAAATTTAAATAACATGAATATTAAACAATAAATGCCTTATAATTTCTACCTTTTACATGAATTGATTAGTTGTTATGAAATATTAGATATGATTTCCAAATAGTAATCATGTTGATTGAACCATAGTGGAAGTTTATTGTGATCATTTAGTAAATAAAGATGCTTTGCAGAAGATTAAATGTTGATGAAAATTATCTTGTATACATACATATTCATGAAATATTCGCTTTCTGAAATTTTGCAATCTTTCGACAAAGGAATATTTTGTTGAAATTATAGTGCTTATAACATACAATTTTAGCATACAATCCAATTGTTTTCAAAATTAAATATTCATCACAGAGCTTAACATTAATAAATTGTAGTATTAACCGTTGTTATAGTTTGTGGAATTTAAATATTTGTCTAATCCTGCTGAGTTTCTGCTCTATTACATGCAGTGTTTAACTACATAATATTGAAGAAAATAAATTTTTTACATAATATTAATATGAGTTAAATAAATAAGAAAGCGTGATTTTATGCCAGTAGTATTAACTATTGACGTAATACATATAGTTCATTAAGTTTACGCATGTTTAAATATACAAATGACATGAAATTTATTATTATTATTCGTATTTTTTCACTCATACAGGAAATTTTATTTAAATTTAATATGCAATGCTTTTAAATTTATTTATTATTTTTGTAACTTATTTATAAATACAATTCATGCATATATCTATCTGGAAAAACTTCAATTAATGATGAACTAAGAGCTGTACAGAAGGGAACTAAATTTAAATAATTAAATACAAATTGTAGAAATCACACATAAGAGACCGAGTATTATATTGTTGCTTTTGTGTTATTCTATTTTGTTTTTACGTCATTTCTAATCATTTCTTATGTTTTGCATAAATTTTTTTACCGCTTTCACCCGTAGTCACTGAGAAATAAGGCCATTGAGATCAAAAATATTCGTTGTATAAGCGCTTTAAAAATTATTAAGCCTTTTAAAGCATGTTACATGAGCTCGATATATATGTATATATATTTTTTCAGTTTTGCAAATAAGCGTAGAAATTGTTCTAATAGATAAATAAGCAAATAAATGCAAAGATTTACGGCAGTAAATACTGTGCTAATATCTTTAAAAAATATTACTGAAACTTGCAGTTTTCAAGATTTAAAAATTGGGAAATTTTTTCTTTTTTTTCCTTTATAAAAATTTATGCAATATTATTAATTTGTGAAAATTAAATGATTTTCCTTTGACTATGCGCTTAGTGCAAATAAAAAGGTGTGTGTCTTAGATTAATTTTAAAAATAAAATAAAATAATTGTTCTGAGGGTACTTTTACCCAGTAATTATTGAGAAGTTGAAATCAAATTCGCATATTTTAGATTTTGGTGAGCTTTTCGGATGCTTTTTTTAAGTGCAACGGCTTTGTCCGGTATTTCCAACACTGTTTCTGCATCTACGCCACTGATTTCTTAGTTATGAAGTTCTAAAAGCAATTGTTATTTATTCCCAAGAATGATGTTTTTTTGTTGTCCTCAATATAATTACCCGATATTTCTTATACTAATGCTTTCTTAAGTGCAATGACCATTGTCCGGGTTGCTAGAAGGATTAAGTTACTTTTCAAAAAGTTTTAAAACATTCATAAATGTTTTCAAAAATTAGAAATAGATGTTTTAAATATGATAAGCTAATGAAAATTTAATTTTTTTTAATTTTTCAAACAAAGTTTATGGAGAGCGCCTGTTTGCATCTAAGTGCAAGCTAAATGGATGCTAAGCTTCAAGCGCGAATGAATATTAACATCGCCAGCTCTTGAAAAGATGTAGCACAAGTTTTTATTTGCTTATGAAAAATAGCATGAATTAAATTTTTGTCTTACGAGTTTAACTTTTAAAATTGTTTAGATTGTTTTGAAGGCATAATTATATAATTTGATAGCTAAATAAAACTTCATGCAGTCGTGGATGATTACTTAAATTCAATCCAGTAATAGACTTTTTTCTTTGACTTGAAACGGAGTATAGTTACATTTCGGAAAATTTTGCAACACTCAAAATTTAAAATAAAATGGAAATATTTTAAGCTACAGAAAGATTGAAAAAGTTTTAATTTTGAGAAAGTTAAAGTTTTAAAAAGTACTATACAACCGTAAAAGCAAATATGTGCTAAATTTTATAGTAACATAAATTTGTCTGATTTTGTTTTTAATAATTGGCGTACTTACCGGTCACAGTTATTTTTCCAGCACTGATACTGACGACCATTTCACCCGTCAGTCGGTGTCGGGTCTGACATCGGTAACTCCACTCTGCGTCTTTCTCCTGCGTTTCATGGATCAATAACTCACCAGAAAACAGTACAGTGTGAGAACGAACTGAAAGCAGAGAGAAAAAAGTTCAGAACAGTGTGAGTACGAACTGAAAGCAGAGAAAAAAAACTTCAGAACAGTGTGAGAACGAACTGAAAGCAGAGAAAAATAACTTCAGAACAGTGTGAGTACGAACTGAAAGCAGAGAAAAAAAGCTTCAGAATAGTGTGAGAACGAACTGAAAGCAGGGAAAAATAACTTCAGAACAGTGTGAGTACGAACTGAAAGCAGAGAAAAAAAGCTTCAGAACAGTGTGAGAACGAATGGAAAGCAGAAAAAGTTCAGAACAGTATGAGAACGAATTGAAAACAGAAAAAGAAACTTCAAGACAGCGTGAGAAGAAACTGAAATCAGAAAAAAACACGCGCTGAAAAGTACTCTGTAGAGAATGTGAAGGGTAGACTAAGATACATGCCTTCTTTACAACCATTTGGTTTGCAACCAACTTGAATTTCCATAACTCGAGAACACTTCAGCAATGTTTGAATTGCTCTTAACTGCTTTCTCTTTTGTGTTAATGACAGTACGTTTGGAGATTATTTTAATCATTTTTTAATGAATTGACTTATGACTAAAATTAAGATTCTGTACCCGCAATTCATTTTTTTCTTGCATGGGAAAAAATGTTTGGAAATTTATTTTCAAACATTACTTCTGTGGTCATTGACTTCTATCGTCATTGACTTCCGTTGTCATTGACTTTCTGTTGTCATTGACTTCTGTTGTCTTGACGTCTGACTGTCATATACTTCTGTTGTTGTTTCTAATCCCAGATGGTGTTGCTTAGCTACACCATTGCCACAAAACAAAAAAAATGTCTAAAAAGTCGAAAAACAAATACGGATCCCCTTGAAATCTCGAGAACAGTAAAACTATAGCATTTGAGAATATGGTTGGGGGGGGGGAGGCCTGATCAGCCTTGCACCAATGACACTCTTGTCCTCTTAGTTTCTCTTTTAAGTATGTTTCAGAAGATAAAGTAGCTCAATTATTAATTACTATTTAATGAATCATTTTCAAATTTTGATTTCGAAATTAAGTTTCCAGCAAATTTCGCTTAATTAAATTTTCATTTAAAATAATTGAAGTTGGCTTGTTAATTGTGAAGTTAATTGTTTCCTAATTATTAATTTAAATGCTTTATACTTTTTACTACAAGATAGTTTCATGGTTAGTTTATTTAACAACGTTAAGTAACTCAATCGTTATATAATATTCATTCATCATTTCTCGTTAAATAATATGACTTTAATGTTTTCAAACTTTTACTTCTAAGTTTTCGTCTCGAGTATGTTTCACAGAGCAATGTAGCTCAATCGTTGATTATTATTAGTTAATCTTAAAATGTTATTATTTCAACCGTTTACGAACTTTTCTCAAAATAATTATTTTAACCTCTATAAAAATAAATCTTATACATAGCTTAAACAAAAGATTTACAGATTATGCTTTCCAGTCTCTTAAACACCCATTAACACCAAACGATAAAATAAAACTTTCACAATTCCATTTTATTTCTCGCCTGGAAATAATTAACACTCAGAAATTTATTTTCAAAACCAAGCGATTTCCACAAGCAGTTAAAGATTTTCAACTTTAACTGCTGAGTAACTGGAGAGAATAAAAGTTTTTGATACAGAATAAGAATTATAATTACACTTGACTACAAAGTTTCGGTTTCAAGCATGTTTTAGAAAGCGAAGTAGCTCTTGAATGAAAACTCTCATTAATCTAAAGTTATAGGTGCAGTTATTGAAGAAAATAAGTATTCTTTGCTATTCGAGAACTATGCAATTAATTTCGAACAAAATTTTTAAAAGATGAGTTGAACGTCAAATTAGAGACTTGAACTCAAGTACAGAGCTCAAGATGGTCTTAAACAGTAACGGATAACACTAAGGAAAGCAATTTAAATTTATAGTGGTGTATAAAATTGACTAAGTTTATATTTAATGTTATGCAAGAAAAATCGTTTTTTCTTAAGAATGTTGATTTATTCCACCTATACTTAATATAAACTTCAATATTTTTTAATTTGTGTTTTAATTTTTAATTAATGCATTTGAAAACAAAGGATATTTATATTGAGATAATTTATACTGCATTTTATATGTAAGCTAAGATTTAATTAATGTATAAAAATTAGATAATTCGTCATAAAATTTATAGCATCCAATATATTTAATTGCATTTCATTTGTAAACTTAATTCCTCCAAAACGTCGTATAATGTAATTAATTTTTATGAGTTCAAATTATAAATAATATTTTCATTTAATGCAAAATAGGTATTTTCACAATAGGTAAAAAAAAGCTCATTTTATGTTAATCCATTTCTTCTTTTTCTTAGGCACTACAGCTGGTTACCGGCCAAGACCGTCTCAGTCAGTTTACCCCATCTAGATACTCAATTTCATTTCACTTCTAATTTATATTTTATTATTTACTCTAAATTCTTAATTATATTCACATATTTTCAAGCATTTTATTTGTAATTGATGATATAAATTTGTTTAATTTGATCGAGCATAAAGATATAACAAATGTTATTTGTAGTTCATATTTTAAATTTTAATTAATGTATTTGCAAATAAAGAATAATTCAATGAAGATTATTTATATTGCATTTTATATGTAAGTAGAGCTTTAATTAAGCTATATAAATTAGACTATTTGTCATAAATAATACACCATTCAATATATTTAATTGCATTTCTTTTGTAAACAAGATATATTTGACTTCCTCCAAAAACGTCGTAACACATAATTTATTTAATGAGTTCAAATTATAAATTTAATGCAGCTTATTTTCACAGTAGGAATGAAACGCTCATTTTATGTTAATCCATTTTACTTCTAATTAATATTTAATTATTTGCTCTCAACACGTAAAGATATTTTATATATTTGCAAGCATTTTATTTGTAATTCATGTTTCAAGCTTGTTTAAATTTTACGAACTTAAAATTATAAATAATTAATGCATTTAACTAATTTAATTTGTAATTCATATTTCAAATTTATTTAATTTATCAATGCGTAAGGAATACACTCATCTTATTATGGATATATTTTAAAAATATCCTTTTTTATGCTTTTTAAAACGTAGATGAGTAAGTGATTTTTAATAAAACCCTTAAAAGATTCAGTCAAGAGAAATAAGTAACCCTTTTTTCATTCCGAAAAGAAATTATGCTCTTCAAAAAATCTGTTCTTTCCATACAACGAAAAAATTATCTTCGTTTTAATGTCTCTAATCCACTTTCCATTGTATTTAATTCATCCAATTTGTCGCTAAAATTCCGAAATCTTGTTTCAAATAGTTTCATATAAAAAAGTCTTTTTCCTGCCAACGTTTTTTAATGGTTCTTGCTTACAGGCGACGTAACATTTGCATTAGCTGGGATAAAATTTATCATTGTTAAGATGTAAAAGCTGATTTGGATGTCGCTATAGCTACAATCTTTTCTCTTAATTAAATGAAATCTTCTACGGATCGATGAAACTAAACTGCAGAGGAATTTTTTACTCAACCTTAAAGATGTATAATGTCAGAATCTACTTCGTCCCTGTAAGGCCATTATCTAAATTACTAGTAAAAGGTCTTTAAAGATTGATAACAGTCTTTCGTTTGGGTTGTTTGTTTCTTCTTAAATGGAGAAAAACTCTGAACTATAGTTTAGAAAGAACTTCTCTTGAACAACGTTTGCACGATGAAAAAAACGAAATAAAAAAATCATATTTTTTCTTCTATATCTTTCAAAATTCAATGAACTGTGTGTAAGATCAAGGTTTTTTTAAAGACTTTTGCCAAAATATTCAGCGTTCTTTCACAATATACATTCTTTGCGAAAATATATTATTTTCAAGATGAATAAAATTTGGTCTCTGTGCTTGTAAATAATAGAACAAATAAAATATTTAAAAACTATGTTTAAGGGAATTGAAGGAAGAAAAAAAAATATTGTCACTTTTAAGACAACAAAGGTAGGGCCTTTTAGTTTTTAAAAGATGCAGTGGGAATTTTCGGTGATGATATAAGTTTTCTACTAAAGTGATACATTTTACATTTTTTGTTTCAATCTGGAAGAAATAAAATAATTTTTCTTCCCTTTTAATTCGGTTAAAAAGACGCAGTTTTTTGGATTTCTCTTTTAACCAAATTAAATTTCGCTTTGTTACTGTAGAAAAAGGATTGAAATTTAGATTGGCCATGAAATCTTTCCCAAATTTTCTATATCACTGTAACAAATGGATACACAAATATCACGTAACTTTCTTTTTTAACGTTTACTAACGTTTTCAACTTTTTTGACAATACTGTTTCCTGTTGAATGCTCCGAGTGAATTTTTCGTCAAAGTAACGAAATAACTTTCGTCTCTTCATCAATTAAACCAATTTCGTTAAAATTAAAGAAATATTTCTTCATTCTGCTTCGTCATAAATTACATCCATTCCAGATGGGGGATTTGAACCTGGGATCTTCATGGTGCGAAGACAACTTCTTAACCTCAATACAGACTAATCGGCTTTTTTCGTCACTTTATCAAAGAATATATTTTCGGCCGTCTAGTCTTCAATCGAGTGTCGTCATTCTCGCTAACAATCTCCCACAATGCACAACGATGAGTGTTCGAGTTGAGTAAACAATTTCACCATATATTTGAGAGTTTAAGTTTCGTCTCAAATCTCGAGAAATTCATGACGAAATTATTCTCCAGATTAACAAAAAAATGTAACTTAAGGATTACTGGATCGTCAAATGAAAAAGTTTTATTTCTGAGAAGAATTTCATAGGATCTAACGTTTTTCTGACTCCAACTCGAGCTTTGAGATCACGCCTCTGACCCCACACCCTTAATATTTAGATATTTTTCGTTAGCCATTATTTTTTCAGTAAAACTAAATCATATGAAGTAGATTCTAATTTAAATTTCGACACTTTAACAGCAATAAAAATAGCGATAAATTACAGAAATTTAAATTCATATTAAGTTTAAATGAATAAATAGAAAAAAAATCTGTGCAGCGTTTGGAGAAAAAAAAACGAACGAATTCCATTTTATTTTGTACAAACAATATTTGCGGAAATACTAAGTTTTTATGAATAAACGGCTAATCTTCGATATTGAAATGTTAAAATTTTATTAGAAAATGTTAACATTTCATTTTAAAATTTTATATTATTTTTAATTTTGTTGAAATTTAATGCCGAATTGTATAAACAAACGAGAAGTTTTGCTCGAAAAAGTTCTACTGAAATTACTTTACAGTAATACAAATTTAATATATACAGGGTGTTTATAAAGTCCCGGACCCATTTTGATGTTTAATAACTCATGAAATAATAAAGATAGATTAAACTTAATAACGTAAATGGTTAGATAGACTCAAAAAGGTTCAATACCGTGAGACACAAAGGGATTCCCCAAAGGTTAATGTGTGGTGTGGACTAATGTATGACCGAGTCATTGGGAGTTTCTTTTTTACAGAAAAGACGGCCTCATCAGTCATGTACTTAGATATGTTGGAAAACTTCGTATTTCCACAGCTAGAAGAGTTTCTGCCACATGTTTTTTTGCAACAAGATGGTGCACCACCTCATTGGAGTATCATCGTTCGTAGTTCTTTGAATGATCATTTTCCAGAAAGATGGATTGAGCGAGGAGGTCCAATTCCTTGGCCTCCCAGATCGCCTGATATAACGCCGCTGGACTTCTTTCTTTGGGGATTTATAAAGGACAATGTTTATAGGAGGATCGCGTCGAACATTGATGACCTAAAAGCCAGAATTACAACCGCAATAGCCTCTGTGGATGCCGACATGCTTGCCGCTCCCTGGCGTGAAATTGACTATTGACATGATATTCTTCGTGCGACGAAGGGGGCACACGTGGAAGTTCATTGACAAAGGTCATGAAACTTTTTGAGTCTATCTAATCATTTATGTTATTAATTTTAATCTATCTTTATTATTTTATGAGTTATTAAACATCAAAATGGGTCCATGACTTTATAAACACCTTGTATAATGATACAGTAATACTATAATAAGAATAAAAATACAGTAATACTACAGTAATAATAAAAATACAGTAATACTAAGTTTTCTCGTAGAATACTGTACCTTATTATGTATAATAGTTTAATATCATAGCATATGGCTAAATAACTGTAGCTTAATTTGTAGCATAACTATGTAACTCCAGTTTGGATAATGACTCATAGTTAATAAAGTTTCGTTCTAAAATAAACAGAACTTACTTCTTGTGTCGGCCATTTTGAGAACGTAGTCATCATTTCTGATCCATGAGTCTACAGAAACGTATTCTTTGACGAATGTCGGCAAATGACACTTGAGAACAGCTGTATTTCCCCGCACCACAAAGTCATCGTATACTTGAGGACTGAATCTTTGATTAATGACTGCAAAAAACAAACAAATAATTTAATTATTTAATTTTCTTTAATCTCACATATCAATACAGTATACAGGGTGTTACTTAAGAAGAAATAAAACCATCTCGAGATTGTTGACGAGATTCAATGTAAAATTTGAGAACATGCTCGAATTCTTTTTCAGCATGTCATTCTTACATTTTGTTGTTCATCACTTTTCGGCACAAATGTTGAAATACAAGGCCGGGATAGCCTGGTTGGTAGGACATTGAGTCCATGACCAAGAAGTCGTGCGTTCAATCCCCGCCTGTCCAAGTCTCCCCGTGTAGTAAATGGTGATTCATGCATGTTAAATCTATCTGCTCATAAAGTCCTCCATGTTCCCATAACAAATCATATCTCAGGAGGTATCGATAAAGAAGTTTCCTTGTCTTCTGGATTGGGTTCAAAATTACAAGGCTACAAAGATGAACATTGGTAGTCGTAAACCAAAAGATGAGTCAGCTGTTCAATGATGGTTATAAAATCAAAATTTTTTTTTAAATACAGTGTTTTTCAGCGTATATCAAACATTAAAGCCATCCAATTCTCTATATCTCAACTCTCATTACTCATTTTGATAGGGTAATACTGAAAGCAAAGTTTAGGCAAGATTTCGCAAAACCATCACCAAAACATAAACTGCAAATTAGGAGATCATTGATCTTGAACGAGTTTTACAGAATTATTTTGCTATTCATTTACCCCCCATCAAAATCATATAGATTGTCTTTTATTATAGCAAATACATAGAGAATATTGTGAACAAAATTTGAATACCTAAAGTTAATTTTAAATTTTAACTGAAGTGCTTGTACTCAGTAATTTTTGATAATTTCCTTCTTTAAGTGACATAACTGCTTAAAAACTGTTGTCGTGCATTTAGCAAATTATACAGAAGAAGTATCAAAATGTCCTAAAATTAATTTTATTTAGTCTATATCTCTAAAAATGTTCTCTTTCTTGTGTTATTCATCAAAAACTTTAAATCACATTAAAAAATAAACTGTACAAGAAATACTTTAACAACATTTACTTAACCGTTAATAGACTTAACCGCAATAGAACGACTTATAAAATATATCTATGACTAAGTTTTGATTTTCAAGAACTTTCAACTTGAATTCAATGTAAGGAGTGATTTGTTCATATTTTATGGTTCCTTAAGTTTACTTGTGCAATTATTGAAAAATACTTTTATTTTTTAGTATTATTTGGATTTATAATGATTATTAAATACGTAGAAAATTATTATGATTATAGAGTACTATTAGGTTGATAGGTTCTTTATTTACATAGCACAATGCACAATGGGCCATAGGCGGCTGTCTGGAAAACACCCCTCAGAATGATCCGAAGGCATGCCTTCACAATTTGTGAGGTCAATTCCTTAATTTATATATGTACACCGAAGAGCCATTACATTATGACCACCCTGCTAATAACATACAGGACCACCTTTAGCCTTCAAAACTGCTAGTACCCACCGTGGCATTGATTCCACAAGGTGCTGATAGATAGTCTGAGGTACCTGGTACCAAGCGCTCACCAGCTTTTCCTGCAATTCCCTCACATTGCGAGGGGGTAGCGTGGCAGCACAAATTCGGTTTGCCAAGTAAGGCCACAAATGCTCTATTGAATTTAGGTCAGGTGAATTTGGGGGCCAAGACATGACTTGAAAGTCACTGGAATGTTCTGCGAACCAATCCATGACGATTCGATTCTTATGACATGGTGCATTATTCTGTTGGTAAACACCATCCCTAACAGGAAATTGCCATGAATGGGTGAACCTAGTCAGAAACTATGTTCCTGGGCGAGAAACCATGAAAACCTGGGCGAGCCCATTGTTACAGATGGAGGGTGGTCATAATGTAATGGCTCTTCGGTATATATATATATANTATGAGCTTTGCAGCTCATTAATTACTTGCAGCTTATGCGCAGTAAATAATACTTAATAATTTAATATTTCTCTTAATTTTCTTCGTTTTTCTTTATATATATATATATTTCTATATATATAGCTGACCGGGATAGAATACTATTATAATTTTCTATTTATTATTAAGATCTATTGGATAATTTCTAATTTATATTAAAACCTTCTAAGATTTATAATGAATATTGAATTCTATTGACAGTAATAATTATTATTGAGTACTATTAAAATTTATAATTATTGAACACTACTGATTATTCTAATTATTGCTGAGTACTGTTGGAATTTATGTTTATAGAGTAGCCATGAGAATTCATATTTTGCTTATCGTATAAAAAGAATGCTTAAAAATCTGCATGAAAACGTAAATATCTTTTTATTATAAAAATAGTTAAGTCACTTCTACATACACATTACCTTAAAGATCCTGAAAGTTATGTAACACATTATATTTAACCGTAATGATTTTGTAGCACAAGCTTTTATTACATAAAATACTAACCATCTCTACACAGCTGCTGTTATTCTTTCGTTGCTCTTTATTCCAAAAGGTGATTTATAAATAACAAAGTAATTACAGCTAAGAAAAATTCCCATTAAAGTTAGTAGAATTACAGATATTCTCTTATTCTCCCTTGAACTTTGTTCGCACATATATCTTCTATCTTTGAAGCTTAATGGTTTGAATTTCTTTCAAGAATAAGATAATATATTATTCACTAAAATATCTGGGCTGAGAAATTTCACGAAAGATTGGATATATTAGATAATTATGATTCTTCACTGGTTTAAAAGGATAAAAAAGTGAAAATCTCATTACGATTTTCTTTTTCTGTTGGCTATGACTAATAAACTATACGCCCATATTTTAAACAATATAATTACTTAAAATGAAAAAAAAAACTTATACTTTTTTATTTGAATAATTTGAACGTTGCATAGGTTATCTTTCTATATGTTTCGTTTGAGTGAGGTTTCTGTATTTAAAAAAATATTTTTCTATGATTAAAAATGAAGTAGTGCTACGCTATTTTGAACTTTTTTTTAAACAATGAACTAAAAGTAACCGATATTTATTTCAAAAGTTTCCTAAGAAGGTTTTCAGCATACTTGAATATATTTCAATCAACAAAGCCCTAAAATGTGCCTATTACACGCAAAGTATCAGAATAAAAATTAACCGTAACGTACAAAAGATTTAAAATTCAAGTGAAAAGAATAATAATTCTAAACTTGAATTATATTCTACAGAGGCATTTTCGAGTATTAATATATTTCTTAGTCATTGAAAATATAAGTTAACAATTAAGTTAAATAAAAGTATTTTCCTTTTTTGCAAATATATAATCTTTTAACTGGCAAATAAACAGTTTTATCTTTTTGACTGCTTATGCATTAGATTAAAGAAGTACGATTTGTTAATTTATAATTATTTCCAAATGACAGTAGTTAAGAAATAGCAATTTAAAATTATATTCAATGAAATGGTATTTAATAGTAAATGTGCTTATTACAGAGAAAATAATTAGTAAGAAAAAAACAGTAGTATAAACATTAAAAAAAAATCTATAATTAAAGCACAATAGTTCTAATTTCGAGTTAAGCAAATTTTCTTTGAAAAGTTTATTATTAGCTTGTTAGCTACTTAGCTTCTTTTCAAAAGACATAATCTGTTATTTGACAAATAAATATGTTTTTCTTTTGTTTCGTTTAAATACTTATGCATTGGAGTGTAAAAGTGCTAATTGTTAATTCAGAATCATATACAATAGATAAGTAGTCAATCAAAATTATCTTCAAAAAATTGTGACATAGTTTCAAAAATATATTCAAAGCTTTTTATTTAAATTCACGATAACACTTTATTTCAAATTTCAAACCAGACCATGAAAATAAATAGTAAGATGCAAATAGATATTTTTATTTGTTTTTTGTAAGATCCAAATAGTAATTGCTTATTTATTTAATACTTAATAAAAATGAAGCGCATTAAAATATTATTAAAGGGCTTATTACTAAATTGGTATGGAAAAATAATTTATAATTCTTAAACTACAAAAACCGAAATATCTTTTACGCACAATAAAATACATGCTACTGATTTTTTCACCTATACATATAATAAAAAAATTCTTGAACTTAATAGGTATAATGTAGCTAGCACTTTTTTTGTAAAAAATCAAACTAATCCAGGATATCTGATTGAGAAGGACAACGAAAATTAAATCGAAAATTGATTTGCATTTAGTCAAAATAAATTGGTAAAACAGGTGTGCTATGTGACGAGATCAGATATATCCGTTAAAAACAGTGAAACCGATCAGAAACGTCCTAATCATGAGAAGAAAATAAAGATCATAGAGATATCGCAGTACATAATTAAAATTTACTCCTCTTTCTAATGTACAATAATGCCGAATGAAGGTTGTTTACTTTTTTCAAGTCTAGAAATCATTTTTTTTGTATTGTCTCGCATTCTCTATTTAGAAATAATTGTTGTAAAGAAAATGTAACACATGAAGTCATATTTTAAGTTCCAAACTATTATATTAAATTGTCTATAGTTTGCCTAAAATAGAAAGCTTATTCACAATATTTAATAATGAAAAATATGAATGTTGAATAAAAATTAATAAATTACAATATATCAGTAATAAAAAATTCGCGTCAATCATTTAGAGTCCTGGAAATACCAGTTAAGAGATAAAAAAATTAATCAGTCAGAGAAATTTAGAAAAAATGCATTATCCTAAGTTTTACTAATGCGGCAAGTGCCTTAAACGACAGAAAAAATAATTAGAGTTTGAGAAATAATCAATCAGATAAATTATAATAAATCCGAAAATACAGAAACACAGAAATAGCAAAAATACAGTTTCATAAGATATTATATATTAGTATAATGTGACAAGTACCTTAAAAGACAGAAAAATAATTAGGTTCGAGGAATACTCAATCAGACAAATTATAATAAATCAGAAAATGCAGTAAAACAGATAAAACAAAAATACAGTATCATAAGATTTATTAATGCGACAAGTACCTT